ACGTCATAAATGCTTATCCGGACACGTAACCCTTTTAAGATTAATCGATTCCCATTCCTTTAGAGGTCTATACAATGAATGACCCATGTGCTGTACTTTATAACGAAAGGTAAATTTCACCTACACATTATTTTTATAAAGTAAAAGTCTGGTTTATCCATAAGCCGCATAATACAGTTTGGTACACCTGTCTCCATTTCCAGATGAAGACCGACAGGGTTAAGTTGTTTGAAAACGTATCACAAATATTGAGTTAGTTGCAGCTCTTTGGTAGAGGATTTTAAGGGATTTTAACACACAATTAAGCAGTTTTATTCTCCAACAAATTATCGGGATTGGCCCTTTAAATGGTGCCCAAAGCCAAATTGTCAAAATATACACGAAATATCAGAAGATCGAGTCTTAGAAAAATCCTGGATTTTTGTACAAAAGCGTCATGTTTGATTAGTTTGGATAAGTTTACTTAAATAGGCCGGGCGTCTTCAATAAAAAAAAAACAATCCATTTAAAATTATAACTATCAATTGTCTGTCCCTAATAAAAAAAAGAGTTCCACTTAGAAATATAATTGTCATTTGTGTGTCTCAATTTTAAATTATAATCATCATTTGTGTGTCTTTCTAGTGGATTAGATATATCACCCATGCACATTTTTGCTGGAATCAGAAAGAATACGGAGGAACCAATTGATGATGTACCTATATATATATACATGGGGCTTTAAATGAAATAAATCAGTGTTCATTCTGGTTTCCTTTGTTTTCCACCATCTTTTCATTTTAATTTTATAGCCAAAAAAGGTTTTCTCCGCCAAATTATTAAAACATTTTTATTTACATTATAATCCATGAAAGTACAAAATTATTCTTTGTTTTACATGTTCCTGTTTTTTAAAACCTTTTAAGGGATTTGAACATTTCTTTTCATCCATAAACTAGACCAAGATGTACAATTGCCAAGGGTACTGTTTTTTAGGAGCTGTGGCAATATCGCAATCTTTCAAGTACTTACTATATCCATTCAAACGATGTCAGGGACATCAAAAATCTTTCAACAACTCTCGGAGAAATCTGACTCCAAAGAACTGACCCACGTGTTCAGAAAACCTCGCATCCTACATTTACTTATCTCAATGCCGCTGAAGAATAATAGCGGTGTGGACATTACAAGAGTCCAATCATTTACTTGACATGAAGCGTAGAATTAGAGCCTCTCCATCAAAAGTCTAGCTTGTCATCAATAAAGTATTGGATGTCATTGAGACATGACACTGTAAAGGGGTGGTCAATTTAGTGTACATCATAACAACTCCAAGTGACTCAAATATTGATCTAATTTCATCTACTAATTCTTGAAGTTAATCATCTAAGACATACACGACACTGCGTATATGGTTGGTCGTTGATTATATTGGATTATGTTATTCGGACGATAATATTTGAAATGGAAACCCAACGCGCAATATATTGTGTTAGTGGCATTCCAAAAGACGACTTAGTGCACATAACCCAATAACTGAATTCAAAGGCTATCTCGTTGATTTGAATATGGAGTGTGACAAAGTCTTAGTGCTCAATAACTTTCATAATTTTTTCTATCTTCTGGACCTTTCTTCTTCAATGTCATCAAACTTATGGTTATATATACCTCTCAAAAATAGCGAAAGTTGATAGTACGTCTTATAAGAAATTGAAATGAAATGAAACGAAATGGAGTAAACGCCCTACTGTTCTGCTCCGAACTTGGCTAATGAAGACGGGCATACGCCATACAGTGTGCTATGATGACGAAAATATCAGCCAAATAAATGAAATGAGGTTTAACGTCCTACTGTTCTGCTCCTGCGCTGGGCTAATGAAGACGGGCATACGCCATACAGTGTGCTATGAGGGAAATTTTGCCCGGACAGCGGCACTGCGACCTACTCTTATATCGAATTCCACCTGTCAAGGGATTTTTACGTGCACGCCAATGTGTACACGGGACCTCGGTTTTTCGTCCCATCCGAACGATTAGACAGCTGTCCTTGTCAGGCCCTCCGTCCTGCATCACTGACAGAATAAGGAATTGAATCCCACAACACAAAGTCATAATCGTACAAGTTATTGTATCAATTTCGCCGACTATAAATGTACACAGGTCAATTCATGTGGGATTAATTTAGTCTTTAATTGCAACACAACGCGTACGTGTTTAGAGCAAAGTGTATAGTTGAAAAGCCAATATCATATATTATCAAACCCAACTGGGGGTCAATAATTTCACTGCATCTAAATAATAGTTCGTATTTTATAAGACTCCAGCATATTTCTTTTTATTTTAATGTGCATGATTATCTAAAATCCATCTACCCAATGAGTGTCATTCTGTTCAGTATAAGCTTGGGTGGAAAGACCAAGACTAATGATTAGCCAGTATATAATTTTCTATTTAACCCCAGAGTGCCAACAAGAAAATGATGCATTAGCAAATTTAATATTAAATTTGTAAAATCGAAAGAAAATTCGACACCGGGGACTAAATTTTATCATTTTTGTCTTACGGAATACACAATATTTCTAAATTTGGAAAATAAACAAAATAATTATGGCGGTCCACGGGGCTTGCATTTTCATGCTGTACGTAGATAGCCCCTCGAGAGCTGTGAAACGAAACATACACCATGTGCTATGAGGGAAATTTTGCCCGGGCAGTGGCCTACTCTTATATCGACTTCCAACTGGCAAGGGATTTTTTTACCTTGTCAGGTCCTCCTTCCTGCTCCACTGATCAGGGGGAAACTACGTCGGAAAATCCCGATGAACTCCAGACTACCGAGCCAGGGGCGTACCCACTTAACAACCGTGGCACCCTCTCGAGAGCTAAATCACACTGTATAATGTTTTACTATAAACTCAGAACATCTCACCAAACAGGTGACATATATAACCAAATACTGCGTTATAAAATATACTTTACAATTTCCATTTGGATCAGAAATATAAGCTGATAAAATTAATGTAAAAAAGATAAAAGTTTGCTTTTCTAAAATGTCTTATTTTCCGATTTATTTTTTTTTTTTTTTTTTTTTTTTTTTTTTACTTTTTATTTTTTTTTTTTTATCTTCTTTTTTGTTTATTTATTCATTTTTTTAGTGTGTGGTGGGTGGGGGGATTATTTTGAAAATTGCGACTGCATGCCATTTTGTCAATACATCAGTTTTAAAACTAGCGTGTCGAATAGTGTAATGTGTTACTCAGAAGGAGATGAGAGTTTGACTGAGAGAACTGTGTAGTCTCGACCCATCGACGATAAAGTCGCTTATGACAGCGATCCAAAAATTGCAACCAAATATTTGGGAGATTAAAAAAAATGGTCATATTATATTGATTGATTTATATGTATTGCGTATAGTTATCTCCTAGGGCACTATTACGACTCAGATTAGTTTTAAATTATTTCAGCTCGGGCCGCTGCGTTATTTTTTCAAAATATTAATTACTGACACACGATGAACCACATTCCGTATAACTTGCACTATGATTATCGTGTAAACCCAATCTAATAAGTGGGGGACTGGATGGTAGTTTGGGTGATAGATTACTTCAATAATCTAATATTGGATTATTTGAATTACAGTTTTCTTTAGAACAAGAAAATAATTGGAAAGACGATAATTCGCGGTTACAGTAGATTGACGGAAGAATCTAATGATTATCTTTGACTACCATTTAGACTATAGCATCATGTTTCTAGATTACTGGACAAATTAGAATTAGCCTAAACGAATTTAATTCTATTTCTAAGCAACAAATTTAATATTTGTGTGGTGTTTGTCCTTTTTTCTGATTTTTATAGAGAGTGTTGCAGTTGGAATTCGATATAAAAGTAGGCCGTTGTGCCGCTATCCGGGCAAGATGTCCCTCATAGACCGTATGCCCGTCTTAATTAGCCCAGTAGGACGTTAAAACCCATTTCATTTCTATATAGACAGTGACTCAATTATACGATTTGGAACCGGAGCCACCACCATGGCTCCGTGTGTAAGAAGTTGGCTCGCTAACCCGCAGGTCTCGTGGTCGATCCCGATGTTGGGCGAGAAAGTTCATTGGGATTTTCCGACGTGGTCCACCCTTGTCGGTGGTGCAGGACGATTTGGAAAAAACGTGCACTGCACCACAAAGGGGACAAAGGGGGACCTTTCATGGCTAACATCGGGATCGAACCCACAACCTACCCTTTGGTAAACCCCGTGCCATATTCACTGAGTCACGTGGAACATAATACCTATTTCTACTCTTCATAGGGTAGTGATTAGCACGGCGCATACTGCGATATCCGAGGGTACCTTAACTGTTTGTTCCCAAAGTTTAGTATCACATTGAATTTGCAACATACAGACACCGCCACCCTACTTCCAGTAACATATATAATAAGAAGGGGCATTGGACCGTGCTCTCTTCTGGCGGAGAATATAATTATAATGAAGAAGGTGCTCAAGACCACACTCTCTTTGTAGCCAAGCACATTGATAGGTGTCGCTCATGTAATCCTATTTTTAACTGCATTGGTTTGAATTTGTATTTATTTACACACACACCCTCCACACACACAAACCTTGCTTACAAACACTGGCTACACTGTGTCAGTCTCAAAATAATGTCCCAAGTATTGAGTTGACGAGATATTAAACCGCACAGTCCTCTATTGAAAAGTAGAATGGAACTTCTATTACTATTTGTTATTTACAATGTTTTATGAAGATGGATGATAGAGATTAAAACAAAGCAGATTTTGTCGACGTCTGGATGAGTGTGATAGATGGTGTTTTTATTAATATCAAGTCGTCTGGGTAATGTACTCTATTAGAAATTGACTGCTTCAAGTTGTATCACTGTATCAAGATTCATCTCAGGTCTTCCTGGCCTATTTTCCCGTTCGTAACAAACAACAGGTTGTTGAAGTTGAAGGTCAAATTATTTGATTATACAACAATAACAATTTAAAGACATGTTTTATTATGTAATAAGAACAAAAACAAATGTTTGAAAAGACGAAGGAACACAGTTTTAGAATAACACGTTTAATATCTGGAGAGTTACGTAGCACTTAAAACCAAATTGATCCCAGAACACGATGGGTTTTAGACTACATTATAAACTTTAGGCTTCATTGCGAACTGAAACATGTCAACATAGCTATAGCTGGAGATCTGCTGCCATATGGAAACACAGGCCTAAGACAGAGATCTCCTGCTACCACATGAAAACACGGGCCTAAGCTAGAGATCCCTTGTTACCATATGAAAACGCAGGTCTAGGCTAGAGATCCCTTGTTACCATGGTGTATTCCCACGAAGGCGCAGTTACAGAGCGTGACCAAAATTAATCCTTCCCACGAAGGCGCAGATATCGACTTGTCGGCTTTCGTTTGAAGAGAGGCATGTTGATATTAAGACCCAATTAACGGTGTTAAAGATTTTATGAATTTATGTTCACTCTGAACCAACAACACCCTGGAAGGATGGCATGCAAGAATCAAGAAGCTAGTTTGAAAAGCCCATCCGAATGTTTTTCAAATGATCACATTTTTACAACAAGAACAAAATATTAATGAGATTAGAATCGTTCAGTATGCTGGGGGACAGGAACCAAGGAAGAGATATAAATATGCTCAAATCCAAAGTCAGCTCCAGGAATTAAAAGGAAGACACGAGGAAGAGGAATTGACTTTAGTCGAGTATTTAGACTTGGTGTCTTATTTGGCGAAATTAAATTAATTTTTGTTATAGTGTAGTTATGTTTTTATTTCTTATGCCAAAAATGATGCTAAAATGTTGGTTAATTAGTTACATTGGGGATTATGAAAGTGTAAATTCTTATCATAACAATCTATAACACCATTGTTACGATTTTAATCCATTTTAATCCCTAGGAGCTGGATTCCCACGAAGTCGTCGAAAAAGACCTCCTCGTTTAATCCGTTATGGTCAATAACTGCGCCTTCGTGGGAATAAACTGTTACCATATGAAAACACTGGCTTAATCCAGAAATTCCCTGCTACCATATGAAAACACTGGCTTAATCCAGAAATCCCCTGCTACCATATGAAAAGACTGGCTTAATCCAGAGTTCCACTGCTACTATATGAAAACTGAACTGAACTGAAATGGGATTTAAAGCCAATGTGCACGCGAGACCTCGGCTTTTCATCCCATCCGAATGACTATACTTTGTCGCATGCCAGACCCTCTGCCCTCTGTCTATTTTATTACAAGCGTAATGTACTTCGTTTGGTCAATAAGGAGAGATGACAAAGAGAAATAATTGTCTAATTGCTATTTAAAACAATATGGTTTCATTTTTGTATTGTGATCATGAATGTTATGTTCTAGAAAAAATAATAGGTAGATACCCGCAAATCGATTAATAAATGCATGGGAAATATAAACACAACATAGTAATCGATTGATATACATAAATCACAATATCATAAAAATATACAGTATTCAAAGAACAATTTACCAATTGTAATTTCATATACTAATGTATTTTATGTATATCGACTTGTGCGTAGATTTATATGTATCCCGTTTAAACAGCTATATCATAATGGATGGCGACTATCCTTTTATTTCCGGAATAGTTAATAAAACCATCAATAACAATATTCTCATTAACCTCAAAGATGCTGTGTTCATTATAAACATACATTACACTTTCATTTCCGATATAGGGTCCGAAATTGGTACAGGTAACCGCAGTTGTTGTTCTTTTTCAAACTGAGCTTCCCGCATCACACGTAATACTGCCTCTTTAAACACCCCTGCCACACTCTTTTTCTCGCCAGCTTTTATTGAGTCTATTTTATCCTTTTTATCTTTCTTATCCCGAATTTCTTGGTGTTTAGCCTTATCCTTCTCAGATTGCATCTCTTTGCGTTGTTTTATAATTTCCTTCAAAATTTTCCGCAATTCTAACAGTCCTTCGTCCTCTTTTTTCTTTTTCTTTGCCTTCAGTTGTCGTTGGATGATGTACCTGGAGGTTTCTTTTTGACCGTTCATGAATTCCCTGAAAAAAAAGCATCACATAATGAACCTGCTTCATGTCGCCAGCAGTAAGGATCAATTTAAGATAGACAAGATCGCCAACACCCGGTACAAATTTAAAGGGACTTAACTTCTCTGCACCAGCCGTGATAATGCAGACGGGCATGCGCCATCCATTGCGCTTTGAGAAAAATGTCCAATTGTCAAGGATTCTTTTATGTGCATACTAGTAGGTAAATGGGACCTCGGTTTACCATACTACCTTGGCGACTTGAGGACATTTGCTTGTCAAGACATCTGGCCTGCACCACTGCTGACTTTGGTTTAAAAAATCTCGAGCAGTTCTACCTGGTTAATTACTGAGCAACCGTGACTCCTGGTATCAAATATTTATTCATTTTGTGTTAGATCCCTTATAGAAACCAGTGGTCAATTTCATTAATAATTTTTGGGGACAAATAACTATATTATTAATGAGAATTATATGATTTCGATGAGCACTCAAAATAACAGATTTAAAGTTGCAATTTCATATTTTTAAGTTATATTTTTAAAATGTATTAAAATAAAGCCTTAAAGCGGAAATTGCAAATTTTCTAAGAAAGTCAAAACGTAATTATTTCTATGTCTTTTGCTCAATAGGTTGTCAACTCACAATTATACGATCATCGGTGTCATTCTCACATTTAAGATTCATTCAGACAGGAAATAATAACACAATAACCTCCCTTGTTTTCTATTCTCCACCTTGGAGTAGCGATATTCAAACGTTTAAAAAAGAAGATGAAAATGATATTTTTGCCAATTTCTCAGCTGGCAATAGTGAATTATAGGATTAATAGGATTATTCTTTAACAAGGTAGGACTGTTAATGGATACCATCTATTTTCAGGCTTTATTTTAATAAATTTTAAAAATATAACTTAAAAATTTGCAATTTCCGCTTTAAAGAAGATGGTATCTATAAACAGTCCTACCCTGTTAAAGAATAATCCTATTAATTTTATAATTGACTATTGCCAGTTGAGAAATTGGCAAAAATATCAATTTTCAACTTCAAATTCAAACGTTTGAAGATAGCTATTCCATGGGGGGGGGGGAATAGAAAAACAAGGGAGGTAATTGTGTTATTATTTCCGGGGTCAAGGATTTATAAGCGGGAGAATGATACCTATGATTGTATAATAGTGAGTTGACAACCTATTGAGCAAAAGACATAGAAATAATTATGTTTTGACTTTCTTAGAAAATATGAAATTCTCGCTTTAAATGTTTACTTCGAAAACTCGGTTTTGATCCCAATTAAATTTATTGCATTCTTTTAGCTTTTTATTACATAAATGAAGTGACTCGGAAGACTTGTGGAAGGCGAGTGTTTCCTTAATAACAGTTCATGAAAGCATTTTTATCTTGTAACATGCACCCAAACAGGACGGGTGCACTATCGCCTGGGGCTTCGCACTTCATCGAGGTCAAAAAAAATATAAAGTGTGTTTTCGCCTAACATCCTTGTTCAGGATCAAAACTCGCACAAGTTTTATACAAAACACACAAAATCTGGGAATTCAAATAAGTCATCAAATTATCGAAGCGGGATAAATGGAAGCCATGTTGGAATTTGTTTCTGATAACACTAGCTTTGACTGAAGCCTTTATCGGGTAATTTCATCAGCAATTAGAAAAGACTTGAAGCTGTGATTATCTCCCATTTTGATGGATACTTTATTTGGAGTCAAAAGTTAGGATTATAGTTGTACACGTGTTACATTACGTCAAAAATACTTAATAATACCCAAACACTACTTATGTGACATCACACATTCTATATTATTAGAACACCGGGCAAAAGTGACTAGTTAAAACTACGGTTATAATGGATAAATAACACAGTGCACTCATGCACAATGGATACGTATTTATTGTAACGTGAAATCAAAACGTTTTGGTGACGTTACTAAACTGTCTCATGGAATAAATGTTATTGATGTTGATATAACCCTTTCAAATTAATAACACCCCCCCCCCCCCCCGCCCCCGCTACATATTGTATTAATATCTTGAGTAATCAAAGGTTACTTACTCCAAGTCAACAAATCTGTCTTTCTTTGTATCTAAACTTTTCATGATCACACATAGAGCATGTTCTGTTAAAGGGATCTGTAAAACCTGGAATTTCCAATAACACAGACAATAACTTAAACTTAACGCGTTATGTATTGGGTTATTTTAAGGTATTTATAAAATATTAATAAAAATGAACCTGGATGATCAAAATCAAAAATGATGATCAGTAGAATTTAAAATATCAACTATATATGTTACCTTCTTAAACTTAGTACAAAAACAACCAATTATTGTCCAGCACGATATTCGGGTGTTAGAATGTTCCTGGTTCGAATCCCGATGTGGGCCTCGAAGAACCCAAGAGATTGTCAGGGGTGGCGCAAGCGGGACTATCCAGCAAAATGTACCTAGAGTTCCGGCAAAAAAGAAGTAGGCACAGGGGCTCAGTGAAGAAACTTAAGACAATGGCTCCTAGCCGGGATTGATCCCTCGGGATTTTCCAGGACCCCCCCCCCCCCTGTAATGTAATGTAATGTGTTAAGGTGATGGAAGGAAACCACGAGGTTCCGTATACACATTGACGTGCAACAAGAGATGACTTGGCAATTAGAAGTTAACAACAAAGAGTAGGCACAGGGGCTCAGTGAAGAAACTTAAGACAATGGCTCCTAGCCGGGATTGATCCCTCGGGATTTTCCAGGACCCCCCCCCCCCCCTGTAATGTAATGTAATGTGTTAAGGTGATGGAAGGAAACCACGAGGTTCCGTATACACATTGACGTGCAACAAGAGATGACTTGGCAATTAGAAGTTAACAACAAAGAGTAGGCGGAAAAGCCATTGTCCGAGCAAAATGTCCCTCATAGAACAATTCATTATCCCTACTGGTACTGAAAAGTAAGACGTTGAACAACATCTCATTTCATTTCCATTTTTGAATAAGTGGTTTATAGTCTTTAGACCTGAAGTTCTAAAGTCTGTAATTTATCATCATCAATTATAACATAACCCTGTTCGCACGTGTAACCTCGCGCGTGTATGAAGTGTATGAAGAAAATTAATTTATCAATCGATGATGATTTGTCGCCAATATCATGTACTGTTCTGCGGTTGCTGCAAAAAATCGTCACCAAAAGGTGTGCCGTGACCGTAACTTACCGTGAGACCTTCTCTAAAATTATTCTTGGATAACTTGTCTCTTTTATTAAAATCAAACATCTTGAACAAGTCAATCAATCGTAGGTTATCCAGTCTCATATATTCAAACAGAATCAGAACCGGGTCGTATTGGCTCAGGTCACTACTGTCGTGTTTTCGAGGGTCAACGACTGTTCCTATTTTCATCTGTCGACCATGAGTTATAGTCATGTTTTTCTCCGAACTAAGAATTTTTACCATTTCAACAAACTCGGCATCAACTGGGACACCCTAAGTAAGAATACAATTTGTAAAAGAATAAAAAAACCAATTGTGACCGTTTGGGAACCTAATTAACAAATATTTTATTTACTCACTAGCTCGATACCCGGCTTATACCCGGGCCCAAGATCTGCTTACTCACCATCCTCCTTTTTCTTTTGATAGCTTACATCACCCGTTACTGTTATTAAACTTAATTACCATAATAAACAGGGTACCTCCCGTTAACCATAAATTGCAGTAAACAGTTGATTGTTGGCTGTGTTAAAGGGGAAGACCAACGATTTTCAACAAGGTTTCGATAAATCTTAAATATATATTGATAAATAATCCCCTCTGTAACACAAACAAAAAAGTTTTTGTAAGCGAGAAATTAATTTTTATTAAAACCGGAAGTGACATAGTTGGTTCAACACGCTGACTGGGCTCTATAGCAAGCATACAGATTTGACACAAGTTTACTGCTGTATTGTGTTCACGTGTCTTCCTTTGGCCAAAAATCTGATCAAATCGGTTATTTATTAGGATATCATAAACACGAATTTATGTATTTTTAACGTTTAGTACACAAAACCGTCGCGTAAATTCACTCATACTAAACTGTACGCTGTGCCTCAAACCACGCCACATGGCTAATTGTTTACATCACGTGGTTTTATTGACAGCTTGCTAGTGAGAGATATTTCGCCTGCTTGAATTTTTATGTGCGTGCTGAATCTGCTGACAGTGTCTTTATTTATTTCAACGGACTTGTGGCACATATATATTCAAATAAATATATAAAATTCCAAAGTATTTCAACGTCAGACACCATCGTATTGGAATATAAATCGTCTATGGGTGGTCTACAGTAATGCCGTAAAAACATTCGAGCCCAGCCATTCTCAAGAGGAAATGGAAGAAAAAAGGAAAAGCCGTTCACGTCGACAATATGTGCCAAAATGCACTATATATTATATGTCTCACATGCCCATAATTTTGATCTGTTTATGTTGAAAAACGCTGTCAGCAAGCACAAAAAAACATCGAAGCAGACGAAACACATTTCCTTTGCAAGTTGTCAATCAAACCACGTGATATAAACAATTAGCCATGTGGCGTGAATTGAGACACAGCCTACTGTTCAGTATGAGTGAATTTACGCGACGGCTTTGTGTACTAAACGCTAATAAAACATAAATTCGTGTTTATGATATCCTAATAAACAGCCCATTTGATCAGATTTTCGACCAAAGGGCGATGCGTGAACACAATACAGTAGTAAACTTATGCCAAATCTGTATGCTTACTATAGAGCCCAGTCAGCGTGTTGAACCAACTATGTCACTTCCTGTTTTAATAAAATTTAATTTCTCACTTACAAAAACGTTTTTGCTTGTGCTACAGAGGGGATTATTTATCAATATATATTTAAGGTTTATGGAAACCTTGTTGAAAATCGTTGGTCTTCCCCTTTAAACTAATAGGCGATCTTGACCTGCATAAATTATGGCCTTAATCATTCACGGGGTCATGCTGGTTAATTTGATACCACATATTTTTTTTAAAACCATATTTGTATTCAGGTTGACTGAATGGGATTGGGGAACATGCTTAGCCTATGTAAAACCCCTCTCCCTAAATAATTTGTATATACATATATATAATTAATACAAAAAGGGTGTATATACATAGTTAAAATGGCAAACATATACATATTATACAGATATAATAAAATGTACAGTATATATAGTAGTTAATAATTATACATATATAAGCACAGTAAGAATCTTTTAATAATAATCAGCATTAGAGAGACTATACATACATAATATTAGAATTAACATAAAGACTGTAGGCTTTGGAGCCGAATAAAAGGCAGTTTATATTTTTAAAATCATGTTGTAATTTGTATATGGTTTCTATTCGTGCAATTGAATGTAAGGAACATCGCAGGAGGTATGCGGGACTGTCGGCAATATGTCGTAGGAATTGATCAGATTTCGAAAGATGCAGGTTCTAGATTTATGAGATTCTTAAGATAAGGAGGGGGTAGGTTATTGATGATTTTGTAAAGTAGTTTTAATTTATGTCGTTTTCGTCTTTCTTTGAGTGGAATAAACCCAGTTTCTGCGTAGAGGGAAGCATGGCTAGACCCTTAACTGCCCCACAAATAGTGCGTAGTGCGTCAAGCTGAAGGTATTCAAGATTATTACATAAGTAGTCAGTGCACCCGTCACAGATAACATCGGCATAACAAAGTGTGGCAGAATGAAGGAAGAATATAGGGTGTGTAGCGATTTTCTGTTTAGACGATATTTCAAGGAGCGAAGACTGTTTACTAATTTTGATACTTTGCTAATTATGCTATTAATGTGGCTGTTCCATTTACAATTGCTTTGAAAGATCAGTCCGAGGAGGTGTTTATGTTCAGTTACTTCCTTTATTCCTATTGAGTTCATTAGAAGGGGTGGTTTTACAATACTGCGTTTAGTTGTGAAGGTCAAAGTTTCTGTCTTGAGGGGGTTAAATGTCACTAGCAATGTTTCCGCACAAGTATTAATTGTTTCAGGATCTTTATTTAATGTAAGTGCGCATGCCTCTGGGTCGTCGATTTTCAGATACAGAGAGGTGCCATCAGCAAAAAAGTCGGATGTTCGATTGTATATTATTCACAATGTCGTTTATATATAATAAAAATAATAATGGTCCCAATACGCTGCCCTGTGGGACACCAGCGGGAATACCCCTGGGGTCCGAGGATATTCCGTTTATGACAACACATTGTTGTCGATTTTCAAGATAGTTCTTGAACCCGGACAGCAGTCCTCCTCTGACCCCAGCAGCTTCCAGCTTATGACAGATCATTGCTAGCTGCGTAACGAAGATTTAAGGAAACGGAAATGACGCAAAAAATGGAAAACAAGATTTATCCTTCTATAGACATAACTGATGAGACCGTGAGAGGATATCTGACAATTAAAAAAACTGACTGTCACTAGATAAGAGAAACCGGGAAAAATAGAACATTCTCTTGTTTTTATTCATTCATGCATGAGCTTTTTCTATTTTTTTCGTTTTCTTTGATCTAGTAACATCCAATTCCTTTTATGAATTGCCAGATATCCTCTCACAGTCTCATATTGGTCTTCGAAGGAATTATAAGTGAGCAGAAATTCGGCCGTGTATCTGTTATCGTTCATTAATTCAGCCAGTTATATAGAAGGATAACTCTTGTTTTCAATATTTTGCGTCATTTCCGTTTCTTCAAATCTTCGTTACGCACGTATGGTAGCAATGATCTGTGTAAAAATTATATTTGGAACGTGTTTAACCAGTTCTATCACACATGTGATAATCGCTGACACCAATATTGTCCTTTAACCTGTTTGATTAACCAAAACATCGAATTTCTCCTTTAAAAATTTGACTTACGTCTAATGCTATATCTTTAATGTTGCTAGTTTTAGATGTACCAATAGTTGCTACTAATGCTTTACACCCTTCTGTTGTTATAGAGTTACCATTTAACTAAAATCATAGAACAGTAACAGTGGTAGACCTGGTTTTATATTAGATGGTAACGTGTCGGGCAATATAAGGTTATTATTTAAATATCTGCAGCACAGGGGGAAAATGAACTCATGTCAAGACGTATAAATGTAGGGCCTATACCTTCAACAACAGTTACTAGTATCTTATTAGGATTTCCAGAATAATATGACGGCTCTATCCATTGGCCACGGTGGCTCAGTGAGTAAGGCGCCGACTCGCTGAACTGGAGGTCCAGTGTTCGATTCCTGCGTTGGCCGAGAAAGTTCATCGGGATTTTCCGGAGTGAGTCCCCTTCGTTGGTGTTGTAGGACGGAGGGCCTGGCAAGGACAATTGTCTAGTAATTCGGATGAGTCGAAAAACCGAGGTCCCGTGTACATATTGGCGTGCACGTAAAGATCCTTTGACAGTAGGAATTCGATATTAAAGTAGGCCGTAGTGCCGCTGTCCGGACAAGATTTCCCTCATAGCACACTGTATGGCGTATGCCGGTCTTCATTAGCCCAGTTCGGAGCAAAACAGTAGGACGTTAAACCCCATTTCATTTCACCCCCCCCCCCCCCGGCCCCCAGGCTCGGTTTACGGGAAGTAATTTGAATAGTAATCCCCGTTAGTAGACATGCCTCTAAAAGATTATAAACAAGTTCAGTGACATTCCTGTGTTTGAATGAATTACTGCAAACTGATCAGCAGTAAATATTCGTTTGTCCGCTTCTATCACTGAGAGGGGTAGCATCGGGGCGGGTTAATTAGCTTTAAATATTAACTTTTTTTCTTCTGCAAATTAAAGTCTAAAACAATTTTTTTAAATTATTAAGAAAAAATATCATGCGTAGACCCATACTGCACGTGCACAAAGTTAAAGAAGACTTTAGCATTACCGCTGTGAAACAGATTGGAATGACTGTGGCCAGCTGAAGGGATTACAATACCATATCCGGTCCTTTTCAATAAGTTAGTTACCTTCCTTGAACAAAATAATCGCGAGAGAACTGATGCGGCGATGTGATGAGCATCTACTTACCTTTAAAGACACCAATCCAGTGTTTTTCATCAAACCACGTAACAAGTAACTTAAAGATGAAGGATCAACTCGATTACTGGACAAGTTTAATTCGTAAAGAGTTGTATTTTGTACCAAAGATTTACCAAATGCTATACATCCTTCCTTCCCAAAACCATTCCAAGCTACATTCAAAGTTTTTAATGTCGTATTATTCTGTAAAGAAACAAAATACATTTTGAATAACGCAATATTGGAATGTTTATAATATATATATATATATATATATTATATATATATATATATATATATATATATATCTTGTTTGGGGGCGGGGTATTTTAATTACATCCCACTTTAAGGAATTGATAATTATTGTAAACAATTTAGCCAACGTTACGAATAACCGTAACTACAAGCATCGCTTTGGGTATAGTTTAAGTGTTTTTGTTGCCTTTTTTAATCTTAAAAGGAGTGTTTTGATAATTAGTAGGACGTTAAACTACATGTCATTTCATTTCAGTCTTTTGGTTCATCAAAACAAACTACAGACAAAAGCACTTAATAATATATAAACTTTAAGATCATGATGTCCACCACAAAGCTTTTAACTTATTAAAAAGTGACCCTATAGACTGAAGACCAAAGAATGAAGCTCGTTTTAATTACTTTTAACGGGTATATTAATTATTTATTCATCTAATGCAATAGGGTAATCTATTTAAACCTCCGCCATATGGTTCAGTTCGATAAAACTCCTAAATTAAAACATTTTCCTGTCATCAGTCTTTAAAACGCCAATTTGTTGTTCGTTTTTAGTTTTGAAATTACATAAATTTTTCAAAAACTTTAATCTAAAGGAGACGTTCTAGTTTTCAGTCCATAGCTTACAAATAATAAAGTGTGTTTAAAGTCGCTGGTCGCCATTTTGATGTTTTGGACAACATCTAATATTTCACGGTTTAATCCAGAATCAGATGTACCCAATTATATCAAATAGAGGCCGATCAAAGGATATTAGCAAATATTATAGGTGGCGCTGGTTCATTCTGACCATATCCCGCTGATATTGTCTGCAGTGGGTGTCGAATATTAACATCATATCTGAAAGGAATTTAATCATTTTTGTGCTAATATTCCTTTCCCAAATTCGACTTTCACAGCATTAAGTTTATAAGGGATTCGAAATCTTCAAATGACGTTCAGATATTTAATGTGTGCGAACTAAAAGCCAAAAGGTACAGAAACAGTCTATTTCGCGTGTCTGAAAGTTTGAATATGATCGCCAAATCAGTTTACAATAACTGTTTAAGAGCAATTGCCCCTTAGGTGACATGATAAACGCGACCATTTATACTGTTTGTAAACGTTTCCAGTATTTGATAAACTATAAATTCTGTTACACACTGGACAGCAAAAGAAATGTATATTTTCCGGAAGTTGCAACTTCGTACGCACGTGTTACATACAAGGTTATCCACGTGTAATGGGGTTGCCAATCAAGAAGCTTGTTTTCATCTCTACCCGACAACTGTACGGGGCGCTTGATTGGAAACTACTACAGAGTTTTAGATAATAGCATGGGACTAAAATAATCAGCTCTCTACATATAATAGGAATTCTCCTTTGACGGATGCTTTAGACAATCGATCACAAAAAGCTCTTCTGTATATGTGATGATGATATGGGCTAATGTACACTAGAAAATAATTTCCAATAATTACACCACGACTAGTTCCATTAGGAACGGTCACTGATCGGGGGATGACCTCAAACGAATAAAGAGAAAGAGAAAGAAATGGCGTTTAACTAGATCATTTCGGGACCAACACATGGTTCAACCTTATTTCAATAATTTGCTTGCGCGTAGGGGTCTTTAGCAGTGGGGGGAAACACGAGGACCCGGAGAAACCCACGAAGTAGGACAGGCGACCCTACTCATTGTCACGTACAACCGGGGAATCGAAACCACACCAGTTGACTCAATGACACACATTATAATACAGCGCGCACGTGCTAATCATTCGGCCATCCAACCCGCCTTCACAAATAAAGAAGAATCACAGTGAAAAAGGTAGAGTGGTATTTTTATATTGCAGCTTAATATGGACGAACAGGAACGGTGAGAGGACATCGTCCAATCAGAGACCGTGTCTAAAGGAATTACACCAATACTAGATCTAACAAGCCAACAGTGAGGCTGATGTCCCCCGCCGAAATAGGAAAATAATTAGAGGACACATATAAATTTATCACAAATTATCTTTTACAAAGTATTGAACAATCAAACAGTATATCTTTACTTATAGTCTAACAATCAAAGTAGGAGAGTTATTGTTTTCCAAAGTCTCGACCAATCAAATTGCGTATCGCTCTGCTTACCCTGAGCAGAAAATGCTCATTATCAAAATTAGTCAAGGTATTACTGTAATGAAACTATACACCAAGTTTCATCAATCTCACTTAATTAGAACTAAAGTTATCGTGTCCCAAAGCATCAACCAATCAAATTGCTTATCTCTGCTTACCCTAAGCGGAAAATGCTCATCTTCGAACTCCATCAAGGCATTGACCTAATCAACACATACACCAAGTTTGAACATTCTAGCTCAATTAGGAAGAGAGTTATCGTGCCCCAAAGTATCAACCAATCAAATTGCTTATCTCTGCTTACCCTAAGCGGAAAATGCTCATCTTCGAACTCCATCAAGGCATTGACCTAATAAACACATACACCAAGTTTGAACATTCTAGCTCAATTAAAAGTTATCGTGTCCCAAAGCATCAACCAATCAAATTGCTTATCTCTGCTTACCCTAAGCGGAAAATGCTCATCTTCGAACTCCATCAAGGCATTGACCTAATCAACACATACACCAAGTTTGAACATTCTAGCCCAATTAGGAAGAGAGTTATCGTGTCCCAAAGCATCAACCAATCAAATTGCTTATCTCTGCTTACCCTAAGCGGAAAATGCTCATCTTCGAACTCCATCAAGGCATTGACCTAATAAACACATACACCAAGTTTGAACATTCTAGCTCAATTAGGAAGAGAGTTATTGTGTCCCAAAAAGTGTGACGGACAGACAGACGGACGGACGGACGGACGGACAGACGGACAGACAGACGGACGAACCCATTTTAATAGTCCCCTGCTTTCTTCGAAAGGCGGGGGACAATTAGTCAGCCGGGGAAGCGACCAACCTCTAAATTATAACTAAAAACTAATTTAGTTATTCTATACTCACTGCCAACATTTTTGCTAATTCTACGGCGCTTGCTCGTCTAATATTGTTCCATTCCAGATCTAGGGTCAATAAGGTTTTGCTGTTTCCTGAAATATATTCTGGGTATAACATCTGGTATAACGCTAACGAAGCAGATTATATGCCTGCAAACCTGTTTGTTATATGTTGTATCAAATTCTCATAGCTAACACATTGTTGTTGCTCTCTTGCAGTCAAACAATTGGACAGATAACTCGACTAACGGCCTATATGGATGTAGACCACCAAATTTTTCCACATCGACTCTAACGTTGATTTTTGTCGCTTTGCCCAGGTCCAACTTTTCCCAAAATTTTGTTTGGGCTGAACACCCCCATTGCACCTGGCAATGCTTGACTCCAAAATTTATATGATATTGGCAAAGAAATTTGAAGCAGCATACTTGTAACTATCAACCGCACACTTGAGGTTACATCGTTTATTTAACATGTACATTGCGTTTTAAAATCACAACGAAAATATATCTTACCTACGGCAGTGGCAATAGATTTACCTCCCTCATAGCCCAGTTTATTATGACTTAAATACAACTCCTCTAAACTAACTACTGACTGAAAAATATAAATTTAATAAATTGTTTTGTGGTAATGTTGTATAGTTAATAGATATGTCTTTTATAAGGACGTTCACTGCACCGTTTAAGGAGCTAATCCTCTAAGTCAACATTTTCCATAAAATTCGAAATTAAAACCACAAATTAAATTCAATATTCGTCCATTTCAATCAATATTGATGTTGTTATCTTGCCGTGGAAATATGGGATCCTAATATCCAATATTTAAGACATAATGAACATTTTAAAATCAATACACGAGTCGTGTATTATATGATTTCGGGCGACATGTGTAATTCACAAAGACAATGCCGAAGTAATTAGTAGGCATAATGGCTGATTCACAAACGACAAAATAATACTAAAAAAACCCTGTAGAATGGACTAAGCAGGCGTAAACTACAGCCTTTTATTACGACTGTTCGCTTGTTTCGCCGCACATAATTGATTAGAAATTACAATAAAGATGTTAAAGTTTGAATATAAATCATTTTATATACATTCATATTACATTAGTATGTGCTTATAGACCCATTTAAGGTTCCAAAGAATAGAGCCCTTTAAACTATGCTACTTTCGGCACATTCTCTCACAATCCACCATGTTGGGTTACCTTAGTTTTTTGGTTGTGTCGTCATGTCGGTTCACAGCATGCCAGTCGTTCAATAAGTTATATTTATTGTAACACTGACAACTGCTCAACATGCTTATTGTTATTGCACAGAAAACCCACCCACTTCTCTATATGATTTCTACTAAAACTAGTGTAAACCAGCAAAAGTGTGCAATAACATTGAACATGTCTAGTTATTGCACGGTTAACGGTTAAGTTCTACTCAATCTACTAGAGGGAAACAATCTGTTTATTCAACGAAAAGAACAAAGGAAGATTTCCCATCCATGTTACAAAATTGTTTATGTTACTAGAACACTGAATGCAGGACATGTGATTATGGCTCTGGCTGTGGTCAACCGCAGGTCGCGAGTGACACAACGGGGGATCTTATGCAAAGCAATGGCGGGGTTTATGGGACTAAGCCCTCGAAACTTTGTGAGCGTGGGGCAGTTTAAAAGCTGTTACAATTACATCGTTTTCTAATAATTGCGATTAAATGGGCAAACGTTTTATATACTCTTCAAAAATGTAGGGGACACTCAGAAACAATACAAAACTGCGTAAAGGCACTGCTGTTTTTATTAGAGCTAACCAGTGTATGTTAATAACAGGCCAATTGCCTACACATGAACATAAACAATTCATATGGGCGGCTTATCTGACGGCCCCATTTCACACGCAAAGAGATACACTGTCAAAAGTGAAAATGGACGTTTTTGATTTTTGTCTTAATAATGAGTAATTTCTCCACCAATCCTCAGACATTCAGCAATTCGTCGTGGCATGCTCCTAATCAACCTTTCAATCACGATTTAGGGCAATCTGGCCCACTCCTCTTGCAGTGCCACGGCCAATTCTTGCCGTGTTGTCGGTTGACGTTGACGTCGACGAACATGTCTCCCGATCAAATTAAACGTAACACACTAAAGGAAAGATACGCTAAACAGTAAATCATATGCAAGTACCTATAGGATAGCAAACATGTATAGGATAAACCAGCAAGTGGCAGTTTTCATCAACCCTTCCTTGAAGTGTCAAATTTGACAATGAACCCCTCCCACGTGTATGGCGCTATTGCGTGTCGTACATGCAGCTCAGTGGTTCTGTTAGGGCGATACGTTCTTCATCTGTGAACATATTCTCAAAGCATGTCAAGTTTCCATGACTATGTATGATATCACAACCTGCATAGGTATTTGCATTTCAATATCACCTACACTTTTTGAAGAGTATATAATATATCGTCGGTGGGGAGTCAAAAGGTCGTATATGGATTTTGCGAAATTGTCCAGGAGAGCCAAAAAACACACAGAGGTTAAGAATCAAAATGTCTAATAAAACCGTCACGTCAAAATGTCGTATATATATTATTTGATTTGGTGGATATGGTATATTAAAGGGTCTCAACATACCTCGATTATATCGGCTATAATATGTGCTTCTGTGTGCTCTATGCCGTTATCTACAAATTTGAATGTTAAAAACATTAAGGGGAGATAACAACATTTCTCAACATTGATATATTTTTTTAATATTAAAGACCATAGTAAGTATGGGGATAGCTCACTAACCACAAGGTAACGGTACGATCCCGGTGTCGTACGAGATAGTTTCTCGGTATTTAATGCCAGATTTCCCCTCATTAATGGTAAGGAAAATCGTCTAACCATTCGAAAAAAAACCCTGACGTCCCATGTTAACACTACTCCGACAAGTAGGAATCTAAGAAGGCTGTAACGCTCCTGCTCGGGCTACATACCCTAAAATTATCTATTACGTGGTGTAATGTTTAGAGATGTATATTTTAACCTGATGGATATTATACTTACGTGATAGATTGACTGTACATATATTTTTGTTAGCTTTCAGTGCTTCAGCTAGTGCTAATAAACCATGTTTACCAGGAAACGTTGCTGATAATTCCTAAAAATCACAAACAGTGGATTATGTAAATTATTCTTGGCTACATATTCAGGTGTCTATGGTTATTTTTTAGGACAGAAATGACCAATTATTTAGTTATTCTTTAATACTAGACGTTAAACAGGAATTAGGTCCATTCAAATCAGGACAATTTGTCGCCATAATCAGCCATTAATCATACTAACTGTGGAATATGCATATTCATTTAGAAATTATTACTGTTCAAGTGCCGAGGCTTGCAATATTCTTGAAAAATGTACGTTGTTTATTTCTCTCTAAGAATGAATTATTCTCGTCAATGTTGTAGTAGAACCTGTTACTAAAGACACCCTATTAAGGACAAACTCTGGTCACCAGAAACAAAGCAAGCAACATATTGTTTCAAACTGTAAAATATCAATGGATATACTTACTATATCTAATAATGAATTATTTTCTTGTATCATCTCTGCCACGTACATGATACCTACAGGCCCTAGGTCATTATATGACAGATCTAATACTGTGGTCACTGTATCCCTCTGAAATATAACAAGATTTCAAAACGTTGTTATGGACAGGTTTACTGGTTAATAAAGTATATTATGAAAGACGTTGAACAGATACGTCCGGTGGAAAATTCCGTTGCTCGTAGGTACACGATAAATTTAACACGTTTTGGGTGTTTCTGTGGAAAGAAATGGTAGACCGTTCAATCGTAGTCGTGTGACCGCTCTGCGATGTTTAAATAAACCATATACGGGTAAAGGGATGGTCGTCGGTTATTTGTTTTTTTTTAAAAATTGTTTAGGTTTTGTACAAAGAACCGAGCCTAATGTCATCGCCGCGATCTTGGAATCGGACTTGAATTGGAAGTGAATTAGTTTTGTTTTCTGAAGAGGGTCGCCCTCAAGAACCAGAAGATCAACAACAACAAGATGACAATAGCGCTCGGGGACCAGTCATTGAGCCAACAAAGATTGTTTGGGATTTGTAGTTTCTTAACAGCTTTAAAGTTGTTTGTTTATTAAAGATACATCTTACCACTAATGAAACAGCAACTGGTTTAATATCACGTGGTTTCATCAGTAGACTACGTAATGATATACGTTGTCTGTTTAACTGATGGAGGTATGTATTTGATGGTTGAACTTGACCAGATCTACACGCCTTTATATACATCTCTCTTGTATCATATAATCTACGTCTTGATCTTTCCGTTAACTCTTCTGAAATGAATGAAATTGGTTTAAACATCCTAACTATTCTACATTAGAAGACGGATCCGTCAATGGTTATTTTACGTGCACGCCATTAACAAAGGACTAAACCCTTAATTCTCCACCTTGGCAAGGAGAAAGCATGACGCTGATGATTCCTGAAGTACTTCCTCAGCCAATATCGGGACCTCCCGTTTAGTGAATCAAGGCATGACTCACCGAAGAGGACAAAATATTATTTTGTACATTAAAAATTATTTAAAATTTGTTCCCTTGCCAATTATGCCTTGAGTCTGTGGTGGTGACTCTGATGTGTCTTCTATCCGGTTGGCTATAAGTAATGTCGGGTGTCTTACTAAATTTTTCTAGAACATTTAAAGCCGCTTCATTTTTAGTGTCCCCAATTATGTAGACATTATTCCTTATCTTGCTATCGATACGTTGTTGTATTTCTTGTACTGAAAGCGTGTAAACCTTGCATAAAGAACATGCAACGATAAAAGTAAACCTGCAAAAGACCATCCCACTAGGACATATCACGTGATAATGAACATTTTATGAGTTTATCAAGCACATTATCATTTTTACACGCAACAAAGTTTCTATATATATTGAATTAATAAAAACAGAGGATTGGACATTAGGCAAAGCTGGGGTGGATCTGAAGGGTGGTCAGTGAGTCATCCACACTCGCTTTGAAAAGCCCCCCCCCCCCTTCCCTTTTCATCCAAATATTCACTAAAATATGTCAATCAGACGGGCTAATAAACCTCTTCCGGTAAGGCCTCGGTAGTCCACACGGCTCGGTGTAAGGGAGTTTTAAGGTTGTTCCTCATCCACATAATCTTTGATCCTGCATGTAAGACATTATCATGGGCATATCCAGGTTGGCACGTCGCAAAATTCAAAAGTATCTTAATGTAGGTTTAAGACAGGGTATCTGGAGGAGCGAGGGGCAGGTGTAGGTAGATTTCCGCGAAATGAGCGTCAATATAACAAAATTTATACTGTCGACGAATAGTAATCAAGTTGGTAAATGGCCGCGTCTGTTCCGAATTCACTGAATCTTACGAAACTTGGTTCTTTTGAATATATCCTGTGATATTTGATAAAGAAATACAATTGAACCTTTAGATTCCAGTTCTGATTCGGCTCTGTTAATTGTTTCCGGTACTGTCTCTATAGGAACACAATCACAGTTTTTTCTGTCACATCTCCTGTACACATTTTGTGATATTTTGGCATTCATGTTTCGTTTTTCAAGATTACTCTGTTACATTTCTATGTCTGGCAACTACGCATTTGTGTGATTATTTATCAAATTCCAGATCCGTAACCTTTCGAAGAGAAGTTTGAAGATTTGCACCCAACACCGCATTATTTCAACATCATAATCATCTTAAGGATTCACTAAATACAAAAAGCTTGATGTCTTGGGGTTACATTTTAGCGTATGTATCCAAAAATTCCATGTTTTTCTAATTACACATCGCATTCTACAGTGGTCTAAAAATACATGTCTCCTACTCCGAACAAACGGAAGAAGACAAAAGAGAGCAGTCTGTTCTATCGCTCTGATCTATATTGATCTTTAGTTCAATATAGTTTGACGCCATCGGATGTCATAGTATACTTCATTGACCAATTAAGCCGATTCCAATAAGCTTGACATTTACCTAGCAACAGTCAGAAAAACTCCAGTTTGTAAGCCGCAAATGCCTACCTTAAAATAAACGATATTCCATGGCTGGCGCTTTTTAATTTAATTGATTGCGTCAATTCCTATGCGATTATCTTAATACATATATTTGAAATCCAGTCAATCGTAAGAGTTTCTAAGGAGAGCAAAAAGCTTTATGATGATGGAATTAAATGATATTGAACGTCCTTAACGTGCTATTTTTTGGCAACAACCGTGTGGTAAGTGGGTAAAACCTGACATGCTAGCCTGGAGGTCGCGTGTTCGATCCCTGCATTGGCCGACAAAGTTCATCGGAATTTTCCGACGTGGTTTCCTCTTCTCAATGGTGGAGGACGGAGGGCCTGACAACGACAGTGGTCTAGTCGTTCGGATGCGACGAAGAACCGAGGTCCCGTGTACACATTGGCGCCTTCATTAGTCCGGTAGGACGTTAAACACCATCGCTGACATTTGGCTGTATAGTATAGTAGTAAGCGAAGGAGAACCGGACTACGCACAATCAAACAGAAAAGCAGCAAACATATTAAAAGTATTATTAATTCAACTAAATTGTGTAACAATATCTTAGTGATAACAGCAATCAGTTTAGTAAATATATCATTTATTTACATCGGAACAGGAACATACTAGATACACACGAACATAATATATATGAAACATCAACACGGTACATTAATATATTTCAACCATTCCGCCCTTCTGCCTCGGCAGCGGTTGAACTCGGATGAACCCATTCGCCGGTCCCTGCTAATCTCTTCTCCTCCCCGTTCGTCTCTCACCTCGTCTCATCTCGTATCGCCTATCAACAAACTCCGACAGTAGTGAAAATAGATAAAAGTCATGATCATATATGGAATTGCCTATTTATCACGTCATGGTATGATTATAAGGACCAGTGCGTATTTCCTTTGAAGTTATGTGGAGCTTGTACACAGATCATATGTAGCGTGGAAATGACATATGGGACTAATTACATGTTTAATTACATCATAGCCAGATCGTGCATCACAGAAGTATATAGTTGAAAATTCAATATCATATATTATCAAAAAACAACTGGGGTCAATAAGTTCCATGCACCTAAATGATCATTCAATTTGATGGAAGTTATAGAGTACTTCGTCACAAAGGATCTGATGCCGGCCGTAAAGGGTCACTGTGTTGCATGTTGTATGATAAGGACTTCTCTCAAAGGGGAAAATTCCCAACCATTGTATTATTCTCGTTTAGATGTATCAAATTTATAGAAAAATGTTAAAAAATTAACATTTAACAAGATAGACAACAACATTGGGGTAAAACGAAAAGGAATTGAAATGGGTTTAACATAAAACTGTTCTACACCAACAGGGCTAATGAAGTCTTGCATGCGCCATAACTTGTGCTATTCGGGAAGAAGCCACGGTGGCTAAGTGGATAAGACGCTGGCTCGCTAACCTGGAGGCGTGTTTGATCCCTGCATTGGCCGGGGTGTTTTCCCTTGTCAAGTGGTGCAGGAAGGAGGGCATGACTAGGACAGCTTTCTAGTCTTTCGGATGGGACGAAACCCGGGGGGTTGGCGTGCACGTAAAAGATCCCTTGGCAGTTGGAATTCGATATAAGAGTAGGTCATAGTGCCGCTGCCCGGGCAAAATTTCCCTCATAACACATTGTATGACATATGCACGTCTTCAGTAGCCCAGTCGGAGAAAAACAGTAGGACGTTAAACCCCATTTCATTTGATTTCATTTTTGTTATCCGGGAAATTTGGCCCAGACAGTTGTGTAACACTATGTCTTACAGATAACAGAATATCATAATGTATATAAGACCTTTATTGAGAACATGAAATAGACACAAATCGAGAGGAGCTCTGTTCCAAGTCTGACTTGCTGTCAGTAAACGTCTGCTTATAAAGCCTCTAAAAATTAGCTGAGGTGGACAAGAGTGATAATCATATATGGTATTGTTTATTATCAATTATGGTGTTTGTAATTAAACTGCATATTTCTTTGAAAGTCATTGTCAGGTCAGTCTAGTGTTACACGCGGATCCTGTGTAGCTTGTTAAAGAACATCTTGAATAAACTAGATGATTATTAAGAACGTGTCTTCACAGAAGTTGTCGAGAGTTTAAACGTCAACTTCAGTTATAGATCAGTTTTGTCACACCAGGTTACTTATTAAAAACAAATAACGAACATAATATAAACGTCAACTTCAGGTATAAATCACTCTGTTACAGTTGCGCCACGGTCAATTTCGTAGAACAACTACTAGGGATTCTTTTACGGACATGGGACCTCGATTTTACGACCAACCCGAACGACCAGACATTGTTCCTTGCCAGCCCTCATTGTTGTAACCACACAGTGACCAATTTTAAATTATACCTCCTTTACCCCGTGGTTAATGAGTTCTTGTCTTAGTCACTGGGCCACCGTGGCTCCAATATAATATGAAGTAAAGCTATATTAATTTACCTGGTAATTCCAAATCGAATTCATCGTCACTATTTTCATCTTCTATTATATCAATGTCATTTGGTACTTCCGATTCCATAACACCATTTAAAACAACCTCGTCTTGAGGAGCATTATTATCTACATCATCGTCGTCATCATTGTCATCACTATTGTCATCATCGTCGTCAGAGAGGTTGTAGGGTTTCGGTATGACGATTTTGTCCACTTTTGATTCCTGATTAGCGAGTAATTCTTCGCGTTCCCTCATTCTCGCCAAGGTTGCCGATAATGATAACCGTATCGGATCCGGTTCCTCGAATAGTTTATGCACAACATCAATATCAAATGAAGCTTCACTGTCTGTGTCTAAAACTTGTTCAAATCGAGGTCGCGGCACGTACCCATTCTTTCTTCTGGGGATAACTCTCCGCCAACTCATCGTTCAATCTGAAAAATGACAAACAGCACGTGAGAAACTTCTCAGGAAATAAATTTCGGGGAATTAAAGATGAAAACTCATGACCATTACCATTGATATATATTTAAAAAGTACAGATATGAAGCCAGAAGCAGTATGTCATTATATCTAATCCATGAAAGATAATCAATATAACAATAATTGATATCATAGCGAGTCTAGTATCAATTCCTTTTGTGGAAATGAATTTACATAATATATCTGTCTTGCATTATATGGAACTCTACTCAGGTCTGAATAAGATCCTTAAAGAGTCATTATGTAAGATTAGATAATAAGCTGAAAGTTTTCGCTATAATAGTTAAAATAAATAAATAATGAAAAGCGAATATGATGAAAATTCCAGTTAAAATACGTCGATCTGAGCCCATATATCGGCGATACAATTATAGCGTAGCCTCGATGCCGCCTACGCAACTTTCCTGGCCACACCCCAACCCACCACACCTTACAATGGCTCCGCCCCTGAAATAACCTTATAATTGATTTAACTACATTATATATTATCTCTTCTAGATCTGCGATTAAACAAATCGGAAGATCGTACAATATTGAACCATTTCCTCTATCGATAATGTAAAATAGGTGCGTCGATACCTGTTTTAAATAGACATGGCAGCTGTACTGATTGACAAAATTTTGCGTGCCGGTACCAAAGTTTAGGAAATTGATCAAATGAAAATTGTAAATTGAATTTTTCAGCATATCTAATTTTTCACAGATTAAGATTAATCCACTGTAAAAGGTACTACATTGTTAATTTTAAATTAAGAATATAAAATGGGGATATCAGCGGTGGATAATCCCTCACGATAGGTTCAATCGGATTGAAAAAAAAGGGCCCATCAAAATATGTTTCCTTACACTAAAATGTGGAAAAGTCTTGTTTATGGTGTTTGCAGAGGATGTTGAATGTTGCGAAATTTCAATGATGGTTTAACGCCCTACTTTTTTGCACCGACCGGGAAATTTTGCCAGGACAGCGACGCTACAGTATAATCTTATTTTATATTCCAGCTGTCAGTGGTTCTTGTACATACACGCCAATATGTACAGTGTCCCTTGTCAGGCTATCAGTCCTGTATCTCTGACAATGTAGACGCATTCTTCAACATCTCGATGACTACCGGGACCAAAGACGGGGCCTCCAGGTCTTACTCACTGAGCCACCACGGCTTAAATACTGAATGGAACTGATATTCGCTTTCCACAAAAGTGTACAGGCAAGGGAATCAAAATACCTCAAGTGAAAATTTGTTATTATGACGGAATTATACTCCAATACAATGTCGATTATTTCCGTCCATTTCAGTTTGAAATATATATTAAAAGATCTGTTTCGATATTGATTTTAACGATCTGTTTCAAATGACATTAACATTTACGGACTTCTGTGAGAAAAAAAAAAAGAGTGTTAGGGTCGTTCTCGCTCTTTGTTCTGCGACGACACGTTTATCATTGAATAAAGGATTATAGTTGATATTTGAATACAATACGATCTATTATCATTTCATACAGAACTAAACTGTATTGACTGAATATATTATTGTATTGAATTCATTCATACAAGACCTAGCCCTTTCTAGAAATCGACCTCCGTGTTTGCCTTTTTTTTTGAGGTTGTATATTGCACTCTTATACAATCTATTTTGCAATCCAAATGTACCCAACTGTGTGTGAGTAAATAGTTATATATGGCCCGTGTAAAACTATAAATTTGATAGCAAAATAACTAAACAAATTAAATGAGATTAAAATAAATTATTTGACGTTTATGGTCGAACGTTATCTAAATCGTCATAAATTAAAGTCGGCGATTGTCATTTAAATTGAGGGAAAGTGAATCTCTTAAAGGAAGATCAGTCAAAAACGGTTCAATTTTCCTCAGTATTTACAAATATATGATGAACTGAAAATTTCGCACTATTTGACATCCTTTACCGGCGCTTTAACTAAGCCAGCACCAAGTGTCGATCAAAATTGTTTGGTGGACCTCTATGTTATCCAAAGGAATCCAAATCGGGGGATTACACATCTTGTGCTCTCATTTTTTGATTAAATGTTAAATGATCAATCTAAGTATATTTGAAGGGCCAATCTCGATTATATTTTGGAGAAATGAAATGAAAAGAAATGAAATGGGGTTTAACGTCCTACTGTTTTGCTCCGAACTGGGCTAATGAAGACGGGCATACGCCATACAGTGTGCTATGAGGGAAATTTTGCCCGGACAGTGGCACTACGGCCTACTCTTATATCGAATTCCAACTGTCAAGGGATCTTTTACCTTTCACGCCAATGTGTACACGGGACCTCGGTTTTTCGTCTCATCCGAATGACTAGACAGCTGTCCTTGTCAGGCCCTCCGTCCTGCATCACTGACAAGGGGAAACCACGCCGGAAAATCTGGATGAACTTTCTCGGCCAATGCAGGGATCGAACACCCGACCTCCAGGCTAGCATATTTTGGAGAATAAAACTGCTTAATTTTGTGTTAAAAGCCCTATAAAATCCTCCACCTTAGGGCCGAGCAACTTAAACCTGTATTATACGGTGTCTGGATAAAACCAGATTCTTATTTCATAAAAAATAACGCATAGGTGCAATTTGCCCTTCTTTATCAAGTAGAGCACGTGGGTTATGCACTGTTTAGACCTCTAAAAGAACTGCAATAGATTATCAGGTCACCCAACTAAACAATTGCCCCGATTACGTGCCCGTAAAAACGGTTTTGACGTCCAAACGACTCAATATTTTGAGTTGAAATTTTGAGACAAGGTAAATACATCATGCCTCTATATTTTGGAACACAAATTTCATACATACACAGACTTTTATTTCCGAGACTCTCTGTTAAATTGGTTATGGTCCATTTAAGCGTGGAATAAGCCGTAAAAATTATATATGGCGATTGCCGGCTCTAATTAAACGTTTATTTTCTGTGAAGATAAAGTAAAAAAAAATACCTTTTAATTGAATACTTGAACCATTACAGAATAAAGCTAATCGTTAAACGTTGGTTTCACTCAACAGTATAATCCGAATAATATTATGTGAACGTTGGTGAAAATATTTACAAAGTGACAATCTTCAGAACAGCCTGGACATAAAATAAATATTTGATATTAGATAATGGATCCTTGATGTCTTAAGGTAATTTCTTTGACAACCACTTGGTAAAAAAATATTGTATATTCGAGAAACCGCTGCAGTTCTAAATACACAAGCTATTCACACCAAATATATATAGAAAAATGATAAATATTATTAATATAGGTATTTAATATAAGTAGTAAAACACGTGGTTTATTGTTATTACGAAGATTTGAACACCTACTATAATATATCTATCATAATAGACTATTGTTGTTTTTATTATAATATATTGGTAGGGGTTACAGCTTGGTTGTGGTAGGAATTCGACCATTAAGTTTTTTTCACAAAAGTTAGTGCACATAGGTAAAGTGTTACTTTTGAATATATTAAATAATATATGATTATTAGATCTAGGTGCACGGATTTTAAACTTATTCACTTTATCATATTCATTATTATATTTGGTTGACATCCATTGTGCCCGTCCGTTTTCTTCCCCGCAAAAAAGGCACAGGGTCGAGAAACATTTTTCTTTATTCAAATTTAATAAATAAAAAAAAAATACTGACTAGATTGATTTGTTATGATGGATATTTAGACGATTAAAACTAAACAATTTGATTGAATATCATCTGGCTGGACGTCGATGTTCGTAGATAGAAATGAGTTATTCTCTGCAGACGATTATACAATAATTACGACGAGACGACGGAAGTGGCAGAATATAATGTGAACTTCGGTTTGCCATAACTTACGTTAGGAGATAAAGTCCTTTTTAAAGTTGTCTACATTTGTGTTAACCTTCGAAAAGAGAAAAGTATCTAACTATTCCTGGCAATTAATATGGCAAAATAAATAGACAATTGAGATTGCCATAAAAAGACATGACCAACATGCTTTTGGTAAGACTCCTTTTTATTGCCTGTGGTTTGAATGTCTATATTTGCTATTTTCGTCTTGAATATATACCCGGTTTAGAATTTAGAGGAGTGTTATTGTCCATTTGATAAAATCTGAGGTTGAGCAGCGGAATTAAATAACAAGTACAACCAGGAGCTGCCAATGACGTCATCGCAGCCATCTTGGAATTATGACGTTATATCAAGTACTCGTTCGTACTCGAATCGGCGGATCCCTGTGCTTTCTTTTAAAGAACGTCGCACCAAGAAGAGATTACAAAGTGTATGGATCTAATTCTTGGTTCCACAAGTTCCAGTGAAGTAAATTGCGGTCACGAACGGCCGATTCCAGCCATGGACGATTCATTTCGCTCACAACAAGAAGAAGAAGAGAACGCGATTGTGAATAAGAAATGAAATGAAATGGGGTTTAACGTCCTGCTGTTCTGCTCCAACTAGGTTAACAAAGACTTAACAAAGACGGTCATACGCCATACAGTGTGCTATGCGGGAAATTTCGCCCGGACAGCGGTGCTACGGCCTAATCTTATATCGAATTTCAACTGCCAAGGGATTTTTTACGTGCACGCCAATGTGTACACGGGATCTCAATTTTTGGTCCCATCCGAACGACTTGTCACCACTGCTGACAAGAGGAAACCACGCCGGAAAATCCAGATGACGATTGTGGATTAGACCCCTGATGTTGCTAGCACTACAGGGAAAGGTAGTTCCTGGAGACTATTAGATTTAATTTAAGGAGAATTTTACCTTATCTGTCGATTTCTACCATAATATTTTTTATTATATTATAATATCGAGAGTCCAATTAATGGATATGATACTTGTTTACATGTAAAGTGGGTATATATCTATATATAATAGTTGGTTGTCTATTGTACGATAAGTAGTAATGAGAATGTAGCGTGATATCACTAAGTAAACATTGAGAAATCATATATCCTCTAATATTCGTACATATAACTTTTTCTTAAGGTTCAATTATTTATTTGGCCATATCTAAGTTCAATACATACCCAAAGCAACTTGATGATAATACTACCGAGTTGATTGAGTTGAAGGACGACGACCCAATAATCAAACGTTTCTTTTAGTCAAACAGTCGATAATTAAAATCACACAAAAAAATATTTATAAAAAAAAACAAAAACAAAAAAACTCCAATAAAATAGAAATAAATAGGCGTCGTACCACCTGTGCAATCATTTTCTTCAGTTTGTCGAATTTCATCGTAGTTCAAGAATTATCGATGAGTGTTCATTCGTTCTTGGGGCTTAACGCCCGCTTCCTCCGAGGGTTCGGTGGTGGTATTGATGACTAGAGTGTAAATGATAACTTCTACCTAGGGTAATATCGCAGACAGAAGAAAAAGCTCACCGGCATTCGATCAACTGAGTTATTAGTTTTTGTATGAATATTATCCTTGAAACAGGTAATCTGCGAGGCTTATGGTCTATGAGGGTTAAAAATTGGCTTGGGCATCGGTTAATCTTACAGCACATTTTGTGTACATTGTGTGACGTGTTTCTATGATACTGGCGATAATACGAATGTAATGGAAATGACATAAAATTGCAGGTTTAGCGTTTTACTTTTCTGATTCAACCGAGATGAAGACGACGTGCCTAAGGCGCACCGTGTACTAGGAGGGAAGTTCTGCCCAGACAGCGGCGCTACGTCCTACGATTATTTCAATTTTCAACCATCAAGACTTTTAAATACCCCGGTTTTTAGTCCCATCCGAAAGATTAGATGATACTTTCTTGTCAACATCGTGATGGAAACCCACAGTCTCCCACCCGAGACCCCCTCTCAACGACACACCATGTTGTTTACGTATAGCTTAAGTGATTGTTTTTGAATGATCTGATCACCAAGAAGAGTTGTTCAGGTAAACCCCATTGTATTACAGTGTCAACAACACATTATATTATTCTATGTTTAGAAACTGGACATGTGTTACTTACAGCAGGTATACAATACTATCTTATTATATATAGTTAATATAAATCTCTAGACAGTCCGTTAACTTAATATTAGGGGACGTACTTTACAATAGATACCGGTATTAAAAAACATATATTGCAATCATACTTTTCCCGTGCCATAAAGTACACATACTAACACTGTTATTACCTATATCCCTATAACGTGTTTACGAAAACCAACCGGGTTTATATTGTAACATACTAGACTTTTTAAAAAAGACATGTTTTTATCATAAATTTTAATTGTATATTTATCATTTCATTTTTGTATTTTATATATTAATATGCATAAAAGGTTTATTTCATTTTTAATTTTATTTACTGTGATATTGTTTTTATTTATGCATATAATACTTTTTCTGTGATATTTATTTAACTTGTCTCGCATAAATCACCATATGTTTGGCGCAATATAGCCCGGTGGGTGCTGACGTGCCATAAAACCACATTTCATTTCGTGTTTACGAAAACAGTGGAAAGACTAGCGCACACAGGCTGACGTCTTAAACGATTTGTAACTGATTTTTAAATGCCCCATATTGCTGGAAAAAAAATCGCCCTCGTGCTCATTAATACAACGTCAAAGGATATTGCTGGAATTGTTGCGTGGCTCAGTGGGTATGACGCTGGCTCACGAACTAGGGGGCCTGGTGTTTAATCCAGGTGTTGGGATTTTCCATATGGTTTCCCCTCGTTAGTGGTGCAGGACGGAGGGCCTGGCAAGGGCAGTGTCTGGTCGTTTGGAGATCCCGTGTACATTATGTGGAGTATGTTAATGGATCTTTAACAGATGTAGTTCGAACAGTTCATGTTGTACGCCCGTCTTCATTAGCCCAGTCGGTGTAGAACACTACGACGTTAAACCTCATTTCATTTTGAATTATCGCCAGCGGCACTTTGTTCGTCCCGCTTTGAAATCGTATATTATCGTTATGTATATAATATGTGGCAACGCGTAATTACCGGCAACAATCCATGAACCGTCGCATGAAGTTATTTGCGTGTACGTGAACACACATCTCCGTGATTTCGACAGCTCGTTGTTTGAACAAACGAAAAAAATCGCCCGTGTGTACTGAACGCACTTAACGATATTGACTTAAAGGAGCTAAACCCCTCTAATTTGCTGAATTGGTTTGATCTGACGTGTTATTTGGATTGATTCGTCTTGTTTACTAATATTAGTATCAATTTTGGTTTTACTGGTGCGACATATTGCCATTTGAATACTGGCTTTATCTTCAGGCATGGAATTTTTAACCATGGCAGATATCGAAATCGACCTTTTTATTTTTGTTCCATATCAAAAAGATTCAGTAATTTTTAGAAAGCTATTTTTGCGTAGAAGACAGCTTTTTATTCAAAACTTGGCGTTTCTTCAAAGCAAGATTTTGATCATTTTTGTTTTTATGGGGCTTCGGTTTTTCGTCCTGGAATTCCATCTCCCAAATCTTTTACATGCACAACAACTTTATACACGGGCTTTGATTTTTCCAATACACCCTCAACGACCAGGCACACTTTCCATAACGCCACCTCCACCCCGAGACACGAATCAGAAACATTCTGGTACAAAGCGAATCCAGTGCCATATATTTTCAGGAGAGTGGGGGAGGGTGGGGCGGGAGAACGGTGAGTCGGCAAGGTCGGATAAAAACACATGCCGTGTTGTACACCACAATGGTAAGTGATAGCAATAGAGGTAGGTAACCCTAACCCAGAATTCAAAATAGATGATTGTTTTGTATAGAAATGGCATTCCCAACTGACAACGCCATCCACATATCACACCATTTGACTCAATTACAGACCTTATGTTCAAAAACGCGCTAGACCACCCAATCCCCTCCAGTAAAGATAAGTATAGCGATAACCCAGAGCGTTGACGTGTTATATTCTAGCAATCTTCGGTTTTCTGGACTACATATTGACCAGGCAATCAATCACTGTCTATTTCAGTATCAAGACTAATGGAAGGCATGGTGTGTATGGCACAAGTTTACTAATCTAAAGGTCGCTGGTTCGATCTTAACAAATAATGTTCCTTGGTTGTCTTTTGTCAGTGCTGCGACACAGAGGGCTGATCAAATACAATGCACCTACTCGTTCGGATAGGACCAAAAACCGAAGGCCCGTAAAAACAATTTGGCGGCCACGTAAATGAACCGTGATGACAACCGGCATTCGACGAAGAGTAGGCGGGAACGCCGCTGTCCGGGCAAATTTCCCTCATAGAACACTGCGTATACCCGTCTTCATTAGTCCAGTTTGATCAAAAAGCACTGTCTATTTGTAAAACATTGAAAGTCTCAATAGAAATCAGTTGATTATTGACTAAAACTACAAATGCATTGAAATTTTATTCAACTTGATATTAATATAATTAAATATTAATGACATAAATTAAGGCTACAGACTAATATATACATTTATCATTCGGAATACTCAATGCGTTTCAGCCAATCGATTTAAATCGTCGAAATATTCGAAAGCGAGTGTTCAGAAAACGTCGGGAAGCCATTATTTGCAAGTTAATTATATCTCCGAAACTAACTGCACTACTGAACACCCTTAAATTAATATTCAACTTATAAAACAGAATTACATTTACGTCTGATGAATTGAATTTAACAGATATAATACATTATGACGTCACGATTTATGATACACGTATAACTAAGTTAGGTAACTCTGTTATTACATAGTTGGAGTTGGCATCATTTTGCCCTGGTCATCACTATCTCTACAGGCAGCTGGTAAACTTCTCTCATAAAAGGTTCCCATGACGTCACTCATTTTTACACTGCATTGTTTCAGTACGCTCACCTCACATTCAATACGTCTCTTTGCCAACCTATAAAGTAATAAGTGATATGTAGATTGTAGATTGAGGGGGGGGGGGCTTATATCAACATTTATTAAACAGAGTGACAGGAAACTGGAGAAAATCAACAAGTTTCGGCAGGCGAACCTATTCCATGTCACAAGCCTGGGATCGAAACCACGACATTTCACTCAATGACAGACCTTACATTTGAAAGACCACGCGTTAAACCTCACACGTTAGCTGCCCCTGTCAAATTATGACGTGTCCGTTTTCATCCCTATATCGACTTAAACCCATATTCAGGAGCAATTGGCCAACTGCCCATAGTTTTGATATTTGAGGTAACTGTACTAACTCGGTCGCGTTATAGTTCAGATTTATATGACGTGTTTATTAACAAAAATTAAATGTCGAATCTTATTACAAAATCTTCAACTTCGACTCGACAGCAATGTTTGGTTTCAGAAAGTTTATACCCCTCTACCATAGAATCACGTCATTTACAGATGTGCAAGGTCTGACCTCCCTAAATTTAACCAGCATGCAGACAGATGGACAGGAAAAAATATGAACATTCCCAGAAAAACTCATCAAAAATAATTTCCTGTCTTTATCATGGTTAAAATCACATCAAATATAACCTTCGTGTTCTGCGATACACATAGATTCATAAAAACAATATACCACAACATTTCAGGGTCTAAAAGTAGCAAAAAAGACGGTAAAAAGACAACGATGTTATACGGACCTTTTCTGTATTAAAGCTGCTCGATACGTGCTGTCGTACCCTGTGCCGTATCACGTATGGCAAATACACACACATTGATGATAAGGATACGCGATCCGGACCAGGAATTTACGTTTGCCAAAAGGCTCTATTAATCCTTCCCTGCGTCCGGGTGTTCATTCAACAGTATAATGTACTAAAAAGCTGCAGAACCAGTTAAATAACTTACGTGCAGATAAATGATCTTGTGGCGGCATCGGAAACCATCTTATCTTCACCAGAACCAAGTCTCATAAATACAGACAGATATTCAAAATAACTGTTAAACTGGGCATAACAAGGCATCAAGGCAGTGGTGTTAGTTAAACAACTTAAATTATCCTCATTTTCAACATCTAGAGAGATAAAAAAAAAATCATCAAAACAATGACTTGTATTAGTTTAATTAGTCTTCCAGCCAAGTTCCGGTTTTGTTACAAATCATGAATGGAATCACAGCCAAATGTTTTCTCGTCAAACGCCCGAATTCGAAATCGGCAAATTACGCTTTCTCGTATATTGAATCGACCGAATTTTCAAAATTCGAATTAAATTTAAGAATAACATCTTTTACTCGAACTATGAAAATTTTCATGATTTTCAGAATTCAAATTAAACTGAAGCATGATATCTGCATCTATTACACCATTTTCAGAATTCTAATGAGATTTATGAATGATTTCTCCGACTCGAGCTGTAATATATTTCGAACTGAATATATTACATGATTGTCAGAATTCGAATTAAATTCAAAATGTGGAAGTTACGTTTCTAAGGGATATACATATCAAAAAGCGTAAGTTAGATTTCTGAGACTTAATATAAAAAAGCGGAAGTTATATTTCTGAGGTATAACATATATATTGACCTACCAGTTATGCTGTTACATAATCCAGTATAAGCATCAGTCACTGTTGTTACGTCAAATAGTGGTTTAAATAAAGATATGGTAGCATCTTTCTCAGAACTTAAGCTTTTATCAACACAGTCAATAAAAGAATCTTTGTTGCTGGAAAAACAATAATATCCTATACATGTTATCAAAAAATGAATATTTAAAGCTATATTTCCGAAATAAATGTATCGAGTCGCAAAATTTGCGAACTTTCAGAAAACTAAACCATGAGACGAAGACGCAACTATCCTAATCCTAGAAAACTGTCCCCAATTATATGTATTTGACAAATTTGAGTTTTGAGCATGCGATCGACGTTCGTTCGTTAGTGGGCGGTTAGCATCCGCTTCCACCAAGGGTGATATCGCAGACAAAGATCGGTGTTTCAACCATACTGTTAAAAATAGGTGCTAACTTTCCCGTAAGAGCCAACTGGTTAGGGTTGAAATAAGGTTAAAAGCATCGGTGGCCAAAACGTAGCACATTCCTATACCCCCCCCCCACCACCTTTTCTCTCTCTCTCTCTTTCTCTCTCTCTGGTTACACTGAATTCCTATTGATACAGTGATACGACTTACTTGCAGACAGCTTTAAATGCTTGTAGAGTATAATTCTGTGACATAGGTGTATCTGTTGGCAGTGGTATTATACTACTATCATTAGCTATTATAATTACACAGCTAGCTATGCCAGACCAACCACTTGTCTGGGCTGTTGTTACCGTTGCTGATAGCACAGCTGAAATACGTCAAATTTAAATAATAATAATAATAAAAAAACGGTCAATAATAAAGTATTTAAAGAATACAATGACCGGGCTAATGATGACGAGCATATGCCCTGCAGAGTGCTATGGAGAGAGAGAGATAAACAAGGTAATTTCGAGACTACCATATGGTTCAATTTTGTTTTAATAATTCGCTTGCGCGCAGTAGGAGGAAACAGGACCTGGAAAGCAAAAACACGAGGTTGGACAGGCGACCCTACGCCTTGTCACGTAACAGCGGGGAATCGAAACCACACTACTCAACTCCATGACAGAACTAATGATCTAAAGCACACTCCTTAAACCACTCGGCCACTCAACCCCTAGTGTGCTATGGGAATAACCGGGCTGCAGTCTACTATTAATTCGGGGGATCTTTTATGAACTGCCAATGGTATACTCAGGACCTCGGGTTTTCGTGCCATTCAGACAACTAGAAGCTTTTCCTTTCTGTCCCACAGACAAGGAGAAACTAGGCCAGAAAATCACGAGGAACCTTCTCGACATAACCGGGATCGGACTTCGGACGAATTGGTTAGTTGGCCATGCCGCCATACTCACTGGCTAACTATTTATAGATAAATAATATTAGAATTATTGGTGTTTTACCAATTATAGATATTCCAATAAGAGGTGAACAAAATGAACAAAACACGTTTCAATACATTTACTTCTAATCCGATCCAATTTTAAAGGCCCCAGTCCATTCCGAAACGAAATTAAAATGACACTTTACGCAAGTTTTCTTTCATACTTATTGATTTATTTTATTTTTTTGATTGAGAGGAATACCTTAAAAATTGCCATGGCTAATGTTCACTTTCTATTATTTAGGTATTGAAAGGAGTCTGAATACCGTATAACAAAATGGCGACAATATAGATATTAGATCAATCAACAGTAATCTGTGGTATTTAAATTGGTTGAAAATTTAGTTAAAAAACATTACTAAAGATATCAAAATCAAAAATTACCTGCTATTAAAATAGTTAACGCTTTCATGGTGGCGAATCCTTGTGACAACTACAATCTTTAACCTACAAACTTTAACTAAAACTAAAGTTAAAAGGCGATACGTAATGAAACTAATATGATCTTGTGGGCCAACCACAGGATGCCTCGTCAAGGAGTTTATTTTGAGAGTTATGGTACGTTGTCGTGCCTTTCTGGGGTTGATCGTTAGAAATATGTGACGTGTTTTTGTCGAATGTAACAAGGTAGTCGGTGTGATGGTTTAGGATTAGTTGAACTGTATGTATATACTGTCTATTGTTAAAGATATATGTGTTTATAAATCGTATTTTCATTTTTGTGAAGATGTTCAATGATGAAGATAACAGTCTGACTGGGATTTTGTTTAGTTTTGTTATTAAGACCCGGATTGAACTTCAAACGAACCTAATATGAATGGTTATAATGTGCAATTAATCTAATTCGACGTCATCGATTTCAGGCTTAGAATGCCAGTCTTCCCCTGAAGAAAGATTCATTTGTACCTAAGAACATCTAGGTCAAGGTGATATGCCTTCTAGATTACTAAAATATCATCTTATAAACATACAAACATAAGACAATGATTAGCCTCCTTTGATTATACCACAAGTCCATATCGCAGCGCCGTTGGCATTGTCCAATCGCCATCAAAGCACATTGCAAGTCCATCTTCATTTTCCCGGTCGGTGCATAACAATAAGAAGTTTATCTCCATTTCATTTCATTCTATTTCAAATATTATGAATCCAGTTAAATATATATAAAAGAAATATGCATGGTGGGCCTATATATAGTTTTATTTGACAAAAAAGAATCACGGTGTACTTAAAATGAGCTTGAAGTGTACATAGAAACAGTTATTTAAGGCGATTAAATAAGAAAGTGTAAAGATGTTCAGACCACGATGTGTGGGTTATATTCCTCGCTTACCAAAAACAATACCAGTTCAACAGTAAACAAAACGTGTCATATCACTTTACCCACAGACTAAAACACTTGTTGACTTTGCTTTAAGAATGACAAAAAGTTTTACTAACCAAAACAAAACACTGTGAAATAATACATCTAGTTTTAAACAACAGAAAGAGAAATTGAAATACCAGTAAATTACGTCTGAGAAGAGATAAAACCCGAACCGGACCTGTAATAACTGTAATGAACTAAAATGGATGTAATATATCTGTACCAAACGGGATATTGCTTAAGACCGGTATACATCGATTAGTGTTGTATGAGGGATTTTTTTCCCGATACCGGCGCAGCGGTCTGCTCTTATTTCGATTTCAAACACGTTGTTTGTCCCAACTGAAGGACTAAAGGCTGTTCCTTGACAGATCCTCTGTCCAGGGCCAATTCGAAAAGAGCTTGTTTGTCACCGGTTCGGTAGATTCTTGGGAATAAGTACAATCCCGGTTTCACCAATTATATACTCGAATGGGACAGCCGAAAAAGGATCCCGGTTTCACCAATTATATACTCGAATGGGGCAGCCGAAAAAGGAACAACAAAAAGGGGGCCCACTATATTATAAAGTATATAAAAGATATGATGTAAAGAATCTCATTCAATAACATATAGATGTTATATAGGCGCACCATAGCGTTCAAGATAAGACAATCAAATGGACGATTACCTGGAACCTATCTTATTTTTCGTACTCGTCTGAGAATACCCAAGAAGTGCGAAATTCGCCAGGTTTATTGTGTCTTATTTTGATATGGAATGTTTAGTATTCGTCTTGAGAAAACTCATCACGTATGAAATTAGTCTTGTACACTGAATGTCATTTCGATGTATGGACTGTTCAATGTCGTCATATATTAGTAGCCTATTAGGCCTACTTTGAGAAGTTTCTAGTGTGAAATGTTTCGACGGAGCTAAATCCAATTAAATGTTTCATTTTGCAGTGTTTTCAAACTTAAACACACAAATTTGCTCTTAAGATAAGCGAGTGGTAAATAGCAAAGTAAACTATTTAATCTCGCTCTGTTCTGTAATATTTAGGTTTTTTTTGTTGTTTTTTTTACATCAAATGTTTCTGCGGGAATGTAATGGGGAGGGAGTCAGAGTTACCTCCCTTATATCAATACCGACGTTCATAGACTTGTAGTGTACAATGTGTAACTATATAATAATAATGGTGATTATGGGCATAATACTTCGTTCGTTCGTTAGTGGGGGTTAACGTCCGCTTCCAGCGAGGGTGATGTAGCAGACGGATGCTTCTTAGCTCACTTGCCAGAAGAGCCAGTTATGGTACAGGGGCAGAAGCACTGGGCGCAGGTAGATAACCTCATCTCTCAACCCTCCGTACTCCGTGTTTGAAAATGAGATATGGTCCTATATAAATACATGTAGTTCCACGTAGCAAAGCCCAACGCTAATCGCATCGGACCTCAGTAAGCAACATTGACAATATTTTTCATCAAAACAAAGATTGATTATTGTTATTTATAATATTTCTGTCACATCCAATTACAATTAAGCATTAATCCTACCTTAAACGGGTATAAATCATCGTATTTAAAATCGAGACGTGACGCAGTTGCTAAGAACTCCATTTTTAAACGGGAGAAGCATGACGGAGTATGTCGGATAAAAACACCGCTTCATTAATTTAAACGCGAATATTAATTTTGGAGTTTGGCGATAGTTGTGCCACTACATTGGCCTCTGTAATTTTAATTGGTCATAATGGTATAAAATTATTTTATTTTTTAGATGTTACGTGCATTAATATATAAAGAAACTGAGTTTGCCACTCTCTTGGAACTAAAGGCATCCAATCGTAGCCAAAATCAAACACATCAGTATATCTCAACGTTTTTTTAGCCACGTACTCGTAGCTATGGGCGCAGGGTATGATTCGGTATTATTTATAGAGATTTCGCATTTTACAAGTATCCTTACATCCTTCTACTGTCCCGATGCAGTAGACCAACTGCCCCCCATCCCCACAAAATGTCGCCCTGGAAGGACCGCCATTCAGAGTTATAGGTTACTGTATGGCTCAGTTCAAGTCGAACTAGAACAAAGCTTGTTAGCGGTTGGAACAATTATTCCTGCAAACAGGCATATTGAAGGATTTTAAGAAAAGTATGTGTGTGTGTGGCATTTTGTTCCAGTGCTCGTGGTGCTAGGGGGTAGTTATAAGATAAAGACTACATTTTGTTTTCACTATTTTATTTCATCAACAATAACAATAATGGTATATATGCAAGAAATTCGGGAGAATATCTAGCCAAATAAATAAATCTACAATAACAAATCTGATTTAAATACATATTTATATATATATATTTTAGTTTTTATGACTGCATGCACAGATCCCACACCATTTTAAGTTTTAATTAGCGTATTATAGATACTGATGTGATGAGAGAAATGAAATGAAATGGGGTTTAACGTTCTACATAGGCATCGAACACGGGACTCCCTGGTTAGTGAGAGAGCAATGGGGTATAGCGTCCACTCAAACCAAACTAGGCCATTCGGGTCTAACATATGGTTCAATTATTTTTCAATAATTCGCTTGCGCGTATTGGTCTTCAGCAGTGTCGTCACCACGCACAAGCTGGGAATCTAAACCGGGCAAATTTCTTCATTGCCATACCTGGTGGCCTAAAGCGCATGCGGTTCGACCCCCAGTAAGATCAAACTCCAAGCTGCTGTCTTCGCTATATTCCTTTCTGTCATCTTTGCCAGACTCCCCCCACCCTCCAACCAACCACGACTTCTCAGTCGCAATCTACTTCTTAAAGTGATAATACTGTCAGGTTCATCTAAGCAGCCACATAATTGAGCCCAATGTTACAGGTCCAATTGATCAATAGCTTAATTGCTGTTTAATCTACAATATATAAATACTAACACACAGAGAGAGAGAGAGAGAGAGAGAGAGAGAGAGATAGAGGGGATTTAACGTCCACTTGACACAAACTAGGTCATTTCGGGACTAACATATGGTTCAATTTTATTCCAATAATTCGCTTGCGCTTAGGGGTCTTTAGCAGTGGGAGGAAACCGGAGAACCCGGAGAAGACCCACGAGCTTGGATAGGCGACCCTACTCCTTGCCACGTAACAATATATTCATATTTAAGCATGAAATGAAATGAAATGGGGTTTAACGTCCTACTGTTCTGCTCCTATACTGGGCTAATGAAGACGGCATATTTAAACAAAACCATCACAGACTGAGGTACTATGCCGAGCACAAGGTACAAAGGTTCATAATGAAACACTATATAATACAAAGAAATTGACTCCCAATATATTTGGCACCAAGAATTCGAGAAAAAATGCTAAAAGTAAAGCTATAAGAAATTAGGTTTTGACAGTTAAGCAAAGAATAAACATTGAAATTCGTGGAAAGGTCACTTTAAAAGTTTATGTACAGGTTTTAACGAATCACATTCATTCAGGTTCCAACACAATGAGAACTAATCGAAAAGAAGCATATGCGAATACAAATAACGCTGTTAACATCAAAACCACTTTAAATAACAGAACAAAAATATATTAATAATTATACATCCCATAATATCAACTTTGTTTTGTCCTTTAAATTAAGGTTTTCAAAATCATTAAAACTACACTTCCTTCTGAAGAGGGTTTAACCCTTTGACTCTAGCTAACACTAAACACTCTTTATAGTGTACTAATATGCATGTGCTCTGTATATATTCAAGAATGGCACCATTTCAGATATCCATAACACATACACTTCCGTACGAAGGAGATTTTTACCAACAAAGGCATTATCTAGGATAACAAATGTCGTATTGTAATTAACATTTCGAAAGGTCCAACTTACGTTTGTACATTTCCAAGCACTCGAGTACACAACACACACTATTGAGCAACAAATTATAGAAAGAACTGACACCCGACACTTCCAGATCCTTTCACTAAAAACACGAATTGAACGCATCTATATGAAAAATAGTTCCAAGCGTATCCATGCTTAGTGAATATAATCCAGTAACTGTGACCAGGAAAGGAGGCAAAAATCGTATCAAACAACAGAGGACTGTGTTAATAGTCAACAGGACCAGATGAAATGTTCAGATCATCTGTTGTGTTCCAAGGAGATAAAAATAGTTGTAAAGCTTCGAACACTTTCAGTTGTATAGTGAACTCTTTACTTTATAATTATCCAAAGATTCATCTACAGAAACATACAGTATGTATAGATTCCATTTCATTCACATTTTTAGGTTAATTATTAAATGAAAATCAGTGTTTTCTTTTTAATTTAAAAGCATATAATACCTATAATACCTTATTTGCTAAAACACCGTATCATTTGGTCTATCCATGGCCCCACCTAGGTATTTACATGAATGTAACGCGTTTACATTCTTGTATATGCTCTGCTACCTGTGCGGATATCGATGCTTCAGCCGAGGATTTCACAACCTCGGGGTTTTTTTCTGTCCGCGGTGTGGCAGTATTCTCCACTAGTTCTGGCATTCCGTCGAAAGATTCACCCAGTCCCTCGTCTTTCTTTTGAGGCATAGTTTTATCAACAACCGTGTCGGGTTCGTTTTTGATTACCAAGCTGATGATATCACCATTTTCCTTAGCTAATTGTAAGGATTCGCGCCGTATTCGTTCTATTTCTTCCGGAATCGTTGCCGGGATATTTGCAGTGCTGGAAATTTCACTCAGCGACCTTGCGTGCATGTGATTTACAGTTGCTTTAATTGAGAAGGAATCCGGTTTAGTTTTCTTCTCTTCTTTTAAAGATTCTGTTTTCCAAGATTTTGGTTTTGCTTCACCTGCTAGTTCAGCAAGAGGTTCCATGGACAGAGAACGTTTCATTCTATCCAAAGTCATTGCCGATCTTTTTTTGGACAACCGCCTTCGATCTGAAAAAATAAAATATAAGATATTTCTGAACATCGGAACCTCAAGATCAATATTTTTGTGGGGTTGACAAAGACCAAAAGGACCCTACAAGAGACGGGGGAAAATCCAAGATTCTTCAAGATACTAGATGATCTACTAGAAAATACTACAATCTACTAGCAATATAAGCAATGTGCAATAAAAAAAACCATGCAGCCTTATCTACTCAGTACAATATTTATATAATATAATATAAAAATGTGATTATAAAAATGTGAACATCTAAAACACCTACAATATTGCAACATTTAAGGATTTATTAATTGGAATCACAACACCAAGCTTTGAATATTCACACAGGAGTTTTGGTATCACATTATAACCACCGCTAAAAAATCATTTCCAGTTCCTTTGTAAGGAATGGCATATCCGAATTTCAGAGCAATGGAATCCAGTGATGTGTCCACTATTTCTTGTACCCACCAAGGCCATTTCAAATCTTTGTTAAGATGAACTTCAACAACATTGCATTCACAGCTTGTGGTAACCAAAGTAATAAAGATGCCTAAGGGACAAAGTTGTCTCCAGAATATAATAACATTATATATCATATCAAAGAAATAAAAGATATCTATAACAAGAAGATGCTAATGATGTGATACCAGAACCCAAAGCAGTTCCCACAGAACTTCTAACCTTAATAAAAACAGGAAGATGATACCATAAAGTTACACACGTCCATAAACAAGCCATGTGATTGCTTCCAAGGAAAACTGGTCAAATAATGTGCTAGAACATACCATATGGATGAACACCATAGAATATATAAAATAACAAAATAGTCAGTGCCAGGAGAAAGGTAAACATTCATAATCAGAATATACCAAGATAACAATAGGATTTTTCAGTCACCAATAGTACAAATAGTTTTTCTTACAATCATTTATACTTCTAAATTATATATCACATGTTATACTATGTATTTATTAATATAACATTAACATAACGTAAGAAGTTTGGTCATCTCTCATGGTTCTGTTGAAATGGTATTTCTGAATTCAATGATTTCTAGTTAACAGGATCGGACCATGACCTGCAAAAATATCTTCTGTAAGGCTGGTGTTCCTCAGAGTGATAATATATTCCCTTTTTTAACCTCTGTGCAACTATCATAAAGTTATTAGGACCAAGTTGTACATAGACTGAAGTACTAGTGTATGTAAGTATACAATAAATATGTACTATACAATTATCAAATTCAGAAGGGTAATTATCATTTTTCCATAGGTGGCTGACATTCTAAAACAGAAATTGATGGCCATGAATTAATGGCATTAATACTTTTCAAATACTTTTTTCTCATTTTGCAATGCGACATATGGAGTTCTGGTTTTTCAAATCAAATGTTCCAAAGACTAACAGGAGCTTGATGTGAATTTACTGTATGGCACATTTTTTAATCTGGGTTATTGCCTCACTCTAGAAATATGAAATCAGCCAAAGGATACGGCATCAGATTGTTTTGATGAAAGTTTTACTATTCAATAAATGGATTAAAACTAGAGTTTATATATCAATTTAATGTCCTTTAGAAAGAAACAACAAAAATCTGTTACAATTACACCATACAAAAACACTTTATAACTGTTTTATTTCTGGACAGAGGTTTTCAAGCAAAATAACTATTTTATTTAAATCAATTAAATACTAATTAACAAAAGGTGTAATTATGTCAACTTAACTATTTTTCGTAAATTAATACATTAATTTAATACTAAAAGTGTAATTTTGTCAAAAGAGGCACTTACAATTTGCCAGTTTTGACTTACCAGTAAAACTGACCACTTGAGAAGTTATCAGTGGGTCAATTTAAAATGCATTATAAATTTAACCTTAAAACACAATAAATAAAGTTAAAATTATAGTTCTTATGAGTAAAAACACATAAAACAAATAAGATAACGCTGAAAATTGTTATATTGTTTGGAAAAATATCTTGCTAATCTGAGATCACCAAAATACATCAAAAATTGACTAAATGGCAAAATTTTGAGGTGAAAGCCCTGCTTAAAATAACAAAATGTAAAATTACAGATCAAACTAAGTCTGGTTTTTATTATTTTCATATACATAATATTAGTTATTTGTTCTGATTAAAGCTATTTGTTCTCAATAAAGCCATTTGTTCTGGATAAAGCTATTTTTTTCTATTCTCTCTTCTAGAACGTTAATGGAAAGACATTTTTAAGAGCACATATTTTAAAAATTATACAAGTAATATAATTATAGGAAAATGAATCAAATATCAATACTATCAGAATTAACATTCATATTTACAATTTAATGGGATATCTGAGGTTCCTTGAGCACCCCAACATCAACAACTTCTTTAACAATTAAACTATATGTACATTAACTCAGACCAGGAATCCTGCTTCCATCTAAGGAGATATGGCGGACAGCTTGCCTTTACAGTACCGTTATAGGAAGAGTAACATCTACACGCACATCAGGAATTGAATGAGGTGTAAATTTGTAAAGGTAAAAATTTACAAACATGGATATTACAAGAATAACTGAAACAGATAACTTGGTGTCAAAACTCTCCATATGCGTTAACTAACAAGAGTGAGAAAATGGTTGAAAGGTGCAGGAATTAACATCAGTAGCAAACATCAACCAGAATGTTTTATGATCTCGAATAAAAATTGTTGGTCAGTTCTACATAGCATCTATCGCAGATAATTTTGTAATTCATGATGAATGGTTTCAGAAAAAGCAAACTTCCACACACTGATTTCACACATAGCATTACTATTAACACTTTTCAATGATTTTCTCACCCTTGTAATTAGTTAAGACATCTAATCTTTTAGTTTCATAAATTAATTGCCTGGTATTATCATATTGTTTTGTACCCTCAGTTTAGACATTAACCCCTTTTAGGTACAAAGTTAGCCCTATTTGCTTTCAAGTATTAGTATGATATAAACACCTTAATATACCCTGGAAATCAGCTCTGTTTTGTAAATAGAGATTTAATTGTCCAGGGATCATAAATTATACATCTTGTCAAGGCTTAAAATTGGATACATAATAATTACAGTATATAAAGATATATTTACATCATATACACATTTGTCAACAGACTGATCTGTTCATCCTTCACCTACCGGGGCGGCCCGTTACTCATTAATTGTTTTTCGGTGGTATTTTTAGCCAGCCAAATGGGCCAGTTTTTAACCAGTGGTCCCAGCCCACAAGGTCTTGACCAAATACATGTTAGCCAATTCATCCATGTTCGCAGTCAAATTAACACAAAAAATTACTTCGCTACTTGACATAAACAAATATCCTAGATACATATATAAATATTCAAAATAACATTTTTAACAATTCAAATATTTTACAAATAACTGACTTTATAAAATTGAATAATGCTAAAAAGATTGAAGAAATAAACCAATGGGAGTTTTAACACCTTTTTTATCATTTAACTCCCATGAAATTAAAGCTTTTTAAATGTTCAATGCTATGATGTATTCATGATTTCGATATCTCTCTATAAATCCAATGCTTTTTCTATACAAATACAATCCTGTAAATCAAAGCTCAGATATTATCTTGAACTTAGTAAACTTCAGTAGTTTATAATACTTTAAAGTTACAATTTCATATTTTCTAAGAAAGTCAAAACATAAATATTTCTATGTCTTTTGCTCAATAGGTTGTCAACTCACTATTATACGATCATAGGTTATCTTTCTCACACTTAGAAATTTTCACACCGGAAATAATAACACAATTACCTCCCTTATTTTCCTATTCCCCACCATGGAATAGCTATCTTCAAACGTTTGAATTTGAAGTTGAAAATGATATTTTTGCCAATTTCTCAACTGGCAATAGTGAATTATAGGATTAATAGGATCATTCTTTAACAAGGTAGGACTGTTTATAGATTCCATCTATTTTAGGGCTTTATTTTAATACATTTTAAAAATATAACTTAAAAATATGAAATTGTAACTTTAAGGAAATATATTGGTCCAATCGAATTTCTTCTGTAAATCAACCAAAGTATTCTGTTTATTTGCAGGTAGTTAATGGGACTATACAGGTTATTTTGTGGTATTCTACTCTATCTAATCACTTTTAGTATATGGACACAATTAAATTTGGTGTTCTCAATATACGTCTTTATCACATGATAAATCAGTCGATAGTAAATCACAAGATAAATCAGTCGACATTAAGTCACATGATAAATCAGTCGATATTAAATCACATGATAAATCAGTCGATATTAAATCACATGATAAATCAGTCGATATTAAATCACATGATAAATATTATATCAAATGACCCGTATATACTCCACTATCTGCTATGTGTAGATATAATAAAAAAGAATAGGTATAAAATACTGGGCACAATTTATAACTTTTTAAATTATTAAAAGGAAGGTCTCACCCTTTTTCTTCTAGATATAGGGGAATGATGCCATTTAATTAGAGAAATTGTACCATGTAACTGAGATATAATACCTTAAACAAATGAAATGATACCAATTCAATGAATTAGTGTACTAATTATAAAATAATGCCATGTAACTGAGAAATAAAGTAATACCCATGTAACTGAGAAATAAAGTAATACCATGTAACTGAGAAATTATACCATGTAATTGAGAAATAATACCATTTAATTTGAGAAATTGTATCATGTAACTGAGACATAATACCATTTAAAAAATGAAATATACCAATTCATTTGGAAATATAATCTTGTAATTACTAAACAACTCTATGTAATTAGGGAATAATGTCATGTATATGTAATTGGGAACTATTTTAACTGAGTAATCATTACTAATTATAGGTTAATAACTTTCACTAGTAAGATCTTTACTGATCAACTGACAACAAAATGTTTAAAAAGTAAACATTCGGTTGAAATAACCAGTGTTAATTTGTCAATTCAATTGATTTTGATAAAAATTGCCTAGTGTGCTTGAATGCGTCAGAGGTAAATAATTGATACAGAAAGCCAATTTTTTACCTGCCAAGATCAATTTTGACAAGTAAAATATTTTCTTTGGCATGTGAAAGACAAGGCTAAAAATGAGTTGACTAAAAAGGAAATAGCATAATATGTCATAAAAATGTTGTTATATAAAGTCTACCATAAACATAGAAGTATGTATACTTTATCTACTTAAATACAATTATATACATATATATGTACAGATTCTTTGTTACAAATTTCTAAATATAAATACTTAGAATAAATAGATACTTAACTATTAGAATAAATACTGAGTATATATATACAAATACTTAGAGTAACAGTTACACATAGGATCAAAGGGCATGCTAAAAGGACTGGACACTTCCAAAAACCTGAATCGGTCATTCAAAATATTATGAGTTTAAAATGATATATATATAACCAATTTATACATCTTTGGTACCAAGTCGTTTCAAGTGATATCTGGGAAAAATCACATTTATATAAATAATGTCAGGTGATATGCATTAAATATATAGAAGACTCCAACAAAGATGCACAAAAACACAGATCCTATTTCGTTGCATTTTTTAATGTTCATATTGTATTAGTCTTGATGACAGCAGGATATAGACTGATTTTTAAATAAACTGTGCTCGGTTTGATAATATAAGAGATTAACTAATGAAATGGTCCGTTTAGTAAGGTGTGCAATGAATTATGGGAGACATTTATAGAGCAATAGAGAACAAAACAAAAGTTAAGTAATATAGGTTAGTTCAGTCACAGTTTACATATGTGTCTCCTGACATGGCCTACCCTCACCTCAGATCCCCCTGGATGTCATCGCATAAAAATACAGATGCAATTTAGATCTGTATTTTAATCAGATTTCTTTCATGTGTACATTCAGATGATCTTAAATTTTGAGGAGGGGAGGGGAAGAGGTGCATAGTCGAGCAGTCAGATCACAGGTTTAATTTTTCAAGCCTAGTTCAATCTTGTCTGGGGTAGCGACTGCGGGGCTCATTAGTGTTCGTTAGTCTCAAAATGAATGAAGTATTGTGTTGACGAAACATTAAACTCTAGTTTTTTCACCACTCATAAGAACAAATTCACGATGCAAATCTCTTAAAAACATGCAAAGGCTGTAGGCCTACTAGTGCAAATTTGTGTGTATATTTAGCAAATAGGACCAGGGCATAAATAATGAAATTATGAAATTCCTTCTTGGCAATTTTGAGTAAATGGCTATCGCCAATGCCTTTAAACCATTGAAACATGAAGATTGATAAAAAAGAGAACAAAGCCATGAGCATATATACAAACAAATACAAGATTTAAGAAAAAACATCTAAATACAATGTAAGTGTTAATATCACAAGTTTTCTAACAAACAGGTTAAAATACATTATTGAGATCTATAACAAGAACCGGTAGAAAGATATCATTAATCATTAATATTACAGGATAGGGTTTCTCAACGTAGGCAATATCATGGGTGGGCAGTTTGGGATTCTGAGTATTAAAGACTGCAATTGACCATAAAAAATGAGTCAAAATTTCCTTTGAACTAGCGATCACATTTGTGATATCTAAATAAACATATGTGTTTGCCAGATGTTTGATGTTACTTTCATTTTTTAATATTCACTCTGCAAGGGAGCAGAGTAAAAAATTTTAATTTAAAATTGTACAGTGATGCCATTAATGTTGAGAACTCCTGCTATAGGGTGTAAATACTTAAATGTTTATACACTACATGCAAACAACAAAAAATGCAATATAAAAAAATCTATTAAAAGATATCAAAAATTGAAACTGATCAAAATAATAGTAAAGAGCTACAACAGTAAATGAATAAATGTGAGATACAAATCTAATTAAATAATTTACAATATTTAAATAAATGAACTACAAATTTTAAGTAAATTAAAAAAAAATGAGCTACTAGGATCAGTGCTTAAGTAAATAAATTTGCAAAATGGGCTATACATTGTTTTGATTAAATGAAGGATGCTAAATCAATTTGTTTTAAAGTTCACCATTAAACTGATTCAAGAACAGATTTACATGGATGAAATTTTTTAAATAAATATCTTCAAATTGGCCTTTGTGTATATGTATCAGACTCTCATGATTAGGCTAAAACATGGCTTCCAAGTTTTCTCATTATATGATTGAAAATGCTATGGTGGAACTTTAGTCTTTACATAATAGCTGTCTGTTTTAGCCTCCATGACATACATGTATGATTGATGTATGGTTTAGCCTCTGTCACATACACGTATGATAGATGTTTGTTTTAGCCTCTTTGACATACATGTATGATATATGACTGTTTTAGCCTCTATGAAATCCCAATAAGAAAGAAATGAAAGAATGATGAAAAATGAATCCAGATCAACTAAGAATGAAACAAATGTCAGTTAATATCTAGTGCACAGGAGTGAAATAAAACAAAAACATATTTCTACAAAAACACATATATCACAGATACTAAACTAAAAATTACGGCTCCAAATCAGAACTGTTTAAAGAATCAAAACTGAAATTTCTACTGTTGCCTAGCGATTTCCAATAACGCATCTTCTTACTTGTGGGTTTAGGTTGATTAGGATTTGGTGTTTTCATGCCATTATTGCGTAATATTTCCAGAAGTTCGTAACGGAAAGATGACACATCTTGCTTGAGTTCGTTAATATCATCTTCGGTGACACCTTCACCCTTTTGAGGATTTCGCTGTTTCTGCATGATGTATCTTTTAATAAGGTCTCTCATCACAGCCTAAAACAGATGTTTATTAATATAATAACAGTCCATGCTTTCATTCTCTTATCACAGATGTATATCAAAATAAAAACAGTCCATACTGAATATCAGCCACCTCTACAGTAGAGCACAGATTCCATTAATTAAACAAACAAATAAAGAAAATTTCTTACAACTGCTTTATTTCTTGTTAACGCAATGCGGCAATACTTTTGAGACCAACATAATTTTATTTTTATTTCTATAGTGAGGTTCAGAATAAGGCATGGGTTTTTAAGGCTGGCTGCCGTCCGCCTCTGCCAGCTATAGGGCCTCCAAAGATTAAGTGAACAGTTATTTCATTTGTGAATGCTGAATCAAGCCTGTATATAGGCTACTCTAAATTATTTATTTTAAAAAATGTTCAATTAATATACTGTACACATATTTATAGTAAATATACTAGGGACCTTACAGTAACAGAAGCCAATAGAGGCGTAGAAAATCTAAATCCAGTCCTCCCCATGACATGTGTGTATGGCAAGAACAAAGAAATGTACTGGACAGCTTCATTTCCATCTAGGTTTTTCCCAATTCTAACAGTCAAGGCATCTTTTCTAATAATTCTTCATTGTGAGTCCTATGTCCTCATAATAATACACCCACTAGAATTCTATATATAGGGTAGAGCAGGGACGGTTTCGGAAACATTTTGGATTGTTTGCTGTGAAACAAGAACTTTTTCATTTATTCCAATTATTTCAGGTTTGCAATTATATAGTTTAGGCCTACTGCCTTTGCTAACATGTGTGGATAAGATCAAGACATAATAATATTATTGACTGGTTCACTGTTACATTGATTTTACAGAAGCTACACAATTGTCCAAATTTACCCCAACATATATAATATCCATAGAACATATAGCCTACCATATGGGTAAATTTTAGCAAAATGAAAATATAAAGACAACCATAACTTGTCATTTTCATGTAAACAACCAGAATTGACAATCATTTTGTACAATAACATTTAACACAGACATGAACTTGGGGAAAATCTGAACAGCTGTCTATGGAGGCCCAGTTGTCTTAAAAACTATCTTAAGGTGCCTCAACTTATCCTGAGAAAATTATTTACAGAAATATTTTAAGTTTACATTTTCCTAAAATAAAGGCCATGTTTAATTATTAATCTCATGAATGAATATTTAACTAGTTAAATTGCTGAAACAATTACACCCACTCCTCTAAAAATGAAATCAAAAATTCATAACAAGACACATAACAACCAACGTCAACAATATTAAAATTTTAACATATATATACAATTAGTTCTGCCATCAATTAATTAGTGAAAAGAAAGAAAGATAAGCCTTTGAGATATGGAGGAAGTTCAAACCAACTTCACTCTCCCCTAGAATTTATAAGTTGAAAATAAACTTCTTACCTGATATCTTATCTCTTTTTCATTAATTTTTTTCACAATTTTCTACAAATAAAAAGCCAATTATTGAAATAAAAGCAGTGTTCTACCTAAACTTAGACTAGTATTTAAGTCGAGAGAAAATTACTAGTGTGATCCCTGATAGGAAATAAAGAGTTACTTCCCTGTAACTGGTCAAGACAAACTTGACTTGAGGATCCCCTAGTTTTATCAATACTAAATATTTTAACAAGATGCACCGATAAGATGCATTGCTGTTGATAAAATTAAGCTGCAGCAGCAATTCTTCAAGTACAATTAGAAAATAGTTATATACATATGTACAGTGAGTAGAAAGTCTAAGTCCTCTATAATTCCTGTTTCAGTGAGTCTTCAACTTTGACTTGAAAGTTGTCACAGTTTCACAGTCTCAGATCTTCAGATATAAATCATTCCACAATTAAGGAGCAACTAAATTAAAAACTTCTGTTAACAAATTGTTCCAATTTTGACTGTAAAATCACAAGAGTGTTCTGGATATTGACATGGTGGTAGTTGTTCAGATAAATAATTGACTTCCAGACTTTGTAGACACTTATATATGAGGCACAGGACTTGAAAGTTAATGCGAGCGTGAACTGGGAGCCAATATAAAGATTTTAGGACAGGCATTATAGCCATCTATAGCAATACTTTTCTCTTAATTTACATTCTTGTTGATGGATATCTGGTGACTTTGGTTAAAGTTATATAAAAAATATGCCTACCTTAATACTCTGCCATCTATTATGTTTTTGCCGTTTTGAACAAGAGCAAAGTTTGTCTTTAAACCAGCATAAAATATAGTAGAATGTTTTGGGGCTAGGAATGATATTAAACGGAGGGGGTAATGTTCCGCTGTCTTCAAAATAACTAATCCACAGTTTTGAACGAGCAAATTTCCACTCTTCATCCGCTGAACTCTGAAATCATTCATAATAGAAATATAGGTTGCCAGACACTGAAACATATACCCACAGCAGCTAAGTTGTCCGAGTACCACATCAATAATATTTAGGTAAATAAAAGGAAAAATCTTCATAAAGTATAACATCATTTGCACTTTGAAAAGGGTCAGGGACATAATCAAGGGCAAAAACTCTCTAAGTAATTATCATAAATTCTTGCAATTCTATGGAATTATTTGTTTCGCTAGTTTGAACAATGCAAATAAATTACAAGCAGGTTTGATGAGAATTTTGTAATTCTAAATGAGTACTAGGTTCTATACTTGAGTCTTGGGGACATACAATCAAGGGACTGGCCCCGGGCTTCACCAAACTGTTGTACACCATGAATCATTAGAAAATTAAGAGCTGTACACATTTTCTTCTAGAGATATTAAAAAATTAATGCATTTTTCATTCAAAGCTAGTGCCATGAGCTAATTTTCATCTTTTCCAATTGATGCTGAGGTGCAATTATCTCTGTTAACTGTCTTGTTTTTTTAGGACATATATATTTTACTGCATAAAAAACATGTTTCGAATAATTTTTTATATATGTGCCCCTCCCCCACCCCACCCCATCAATTTACATTTCTTTTGGATATTTCTACTTACATATATAATCTGGTAAGAGTTACTCATCATGGCAATTAACATATTGAGTAGAACTATTAAGGCAATAAAACAATAGGAGCCGAACATCAATTTGCCAATTAACTCTGTAAATTGATGATTAAACTCTTTTAACTCGGCATGTTCTAAATCAACCAATCCAAATATAGACCAATACAGACTCTGTAGAATTTCAAACAAACTACAAAAAAAAAACAGAAAAAAATATTTAAATCTGGGGGTATAAAAAAAGTTATCATCAGAATGGGGTACTACATGTTCCCCCAACCCCACCCACCGAAAAGATATTTCCTTCTACTAATATTTTTACCTTAAAACAACAATAAATACAGCTAAGTTTTATAGTTTTCATATGTAAAAACACTTTAAAAAAATTAAAAAATGGTTAAGAACAGTGGGATATTGAGCTGCTATTGATTGTCGTATTATTTGAACAAAATTTGCTTATATAATGTCAAGAAAATATTTCGAAAATTAAGCAACTGGAAAAATTGTGAAGTGAAAACTCTGATTGACCTATAGCTATGTCATTGTTTGTATGGATTTAATGGCTGACTCACAGGAAATATCCTACAGAGCCCAACACAAGATTAAGCTCAAATTATTGGATAAACTTACTGAAGATTTGGTGAAGTTCTGATCCTATTTAGGATTAAGTGAATAATATGCTTAGAAGTTGTGAATTTTCATAGACAAGAGAGAGAGAAAGTAATGGGGTTTAATGTCCACTTAACACAAACTAGGTCATTGGGGACTAATATAATGGTTCAATTTTATTTCAACAATTCGATTGCCCATAGGGGTCTTTAGTAGTGGGAGGAAACCGGAGGACCCGTAGAATACCCACGAGGATGGATAGGCGACCCCACTCCTTGTCACGTACAACCAGGGAATTGAAACCACGCCAGTTGACTCAATTCAAAGATAAAATAATCTAGATGAAATCAAATAACAAAAGGAGATGAGATGCACCATTGCACCCTCACCCCAGCCCCCACAAAAGAAATGCAATTTACAACCCTGAGAAAGCTGTAGGCCTGATTATAATTGTGTGTTTGACATTTCAAAAATTTTTAGTTTTATATCGACGAATGATAAAATCCTATTACCATTTACTCACTTACAATAACATTAAAATATATTTCTTTTTTTTTCTTTTGAGATATACGTTATGTAGAATATTTTTACCCCAAAAAAAGGAGATAAGGCCAAAAAAATAAAAATCTCATTTAATACAGAAAAACACAGTATTCGAGAACAATAACGTTATTAAGAATGGACTGCAGGCTTACACAAAATACATAGCTGTGTGAAATCAAAGGAATCAATGTAGACTTATGTTACAATAATTGATTTGAATACTGTTGTTTAAAAAAAGTATTTTTAATTATGTGTGGTCCTGTACTCTAATATTCAACCATTATCCTAGCATGTTAAAATTGAATAATTTTTGGGACATATTGTTTACGTATAACCATGGTAAAAAATTAAATGATTCATCTGTAAATATTAATTAAAATATTGTAGTATTATTATGACAATCACAGAGGACAAAATTGCACAGAGTACTTTATATAAACTGTTAATCTTTCAAAGATTAATTCTCTCTACACAAATTTATTATACAGAGCTTGCAAATCTTGCAAAGATATTTTAAGATGATTATAATACATCAATGGACTGATGTTGTCATGGTATTTATATAAATTATTCTAAGACATTCTTTCTTACTGTGTGCCTATGTGGAGAAATTATCACAAAACAGAAACAGATAATTTATTTTTCTGTAAGATGACTTAACCATCTTGTTTATTACACAGAATTATATAGTTCCATGCTTAAATTAGATTTTTCTTATTTTAAATGTGAAAACCACAGTGTCTGAGCAAGTGTGGTACTGGCTCACTAACCATCAACAGGGTCATTTTTTGGCACATTTGACCAACTTCCCAAAATTGGGCCCCGCACTAGAAAGGCTTCAAATTTTTCAGGCAATCTATCTGGCAGGGTGTGGCTATTAATTTTGAAGTAAAGCATAGTCGGCCTTAAATATGAATGAATATAGCCCTAGTTAAAGTTATTCATATACTGCAATGTATTCATATGTTGTATCTTCGGGCCTCCCATATTGGGCCCCACATTTTCTACAACTGACCCTGCTATCCAAATGAAATTTTGCCTAGGAAACGGCCTTTCTTCCTACTCTTCATCAAATTTCAACTGTCAAGGGTTCTTTTACATAGACCCATCTTCCTGCACCACTGGCAAAGGGAAACGACACCTGAAAAATTCTAGGAAGTTTCTCAGCCAACCCCAGGACTGAACACTGGATGGAGCCTCTGGCCATATTGACCAAGTGTCATAATTATCGACTCCTCAATTACATTTCTGTCATTTTTTGTAGAATTTTTTGTACACTGTCAATATATATTTTCATTAACATAGAACAAACTTTACTTTCTTATAATTACCATAATTTATTTCAGGGAAGGATCCTGCTACAGTTTCACAACTTCCCCACCCCCCCCACCCTTAACCTCTCCTGCACTTCACAATGTGTCCCTGATTTTCAACCAGTGCATACATTAATATAAAACAAACAAAATAAAAGAACACTTACTTGGCAAAACTTCTGTATTTGCGGTCACACGAATCTGTTATATTGTTTGAACATTCTTGTGCGCGTAAATGTGCATAGTACCAGTACAGATGAGTTAATCCACATCCGAATGAGAACAACAATAAAAAGTATATCATACAAAAACGCATTATGTCCATTATCATCCTACCCAGTGAGATCTGTAGTGGTCCGAGGTGAGGACTCACAGTAAATATATATATAAGTTTTAACGAACTGAATATATTAGCTGCTGCAAACATGGCTTCTGCTATTAAATTTGGATCATACGCATCCCAATATCTTCGTTCTAAGTCACGTGGGTAAAGTTTATTCTCCTCCATATAATTAATCTAAAAAATAAAATTTTTAAAAATCAGAGAAAATTATTTAACCACCGGGAAATGACTGAATATGGGTTTTGTTTTGTCTGCACCTTCGATGATTTCATCAGAAATTTATTTGCTCCATAGACCAGTGGTGTTTTAAACTACATGTATATATTTTACGACTGAAGGATATCAAGGTGTTATCACAAATATACAAATCCCTTCAAGTAGACACATTGTTATTAATCTTTTAAAATATCCACATTCCTCGAATACGTTTGAAAACTCTTTAATTCTTAAATTGGTTGGCAACCAAAAGAGAGAGAGAGAGAGAGAGAGAGAGAGAGAGGAATGGGGTGTAACGTCCACTCGACACATACTAGGTCATTTCGGGACTATCATATGGTTCTATAATTCGCTTGCGCGTAAGGGTCTTTAGCAGTGGGAGGAAACTGGAGGACCCGGAGAAAACCTACAAGGTTAGACAGACAACCCTACTCCTTATCACGTACAACTGGGGAATCGAAACCCACGCCAGCTGACTCAATGACAGACCTTATGATACAGCACGCACATGCTAACCATTCGGCCATTCAACACCCCGGCAACCAAAAGAACATTTGTTTACAGAAAATGATGTTATACAGTGATCAACTTTAGAATAGAGAATATTGCAAATACCAGAGCTTAAACTGTTAAATTCATCAATATACATATTCAACAATTAGTATGATTAAATGCTGATTAACAACAACAAATTATTTTCGCTTGCACAAAATTATTGGCATTTAAGAGTAACTTGCCACGCCCATCTCCTCATTCTGAAAACAAAATTTAAGAACCACATGTGCGGTAAATTTATTTCCATCCACACCCATCTAATCAGTTCCACAAATTATTCTGTCAAATTAGTGCCCCCTATATTGTATTGCCTATAACAGAAGCGTGGAAAAATGGTTAAATTTAATTGCCGTAAAGCACTGCCATCATCAGTTAACCTCGGAACCTCAGACAAGTAACTTTTAGTCTAGCGATAAACTACTGGCATAAATAATCAAGTTGATTAAAGTATTTTAGCACATTTTACAACATCTATCAAGTCTGGTACACTTGATTTATATCTGAACTACTGACTTTTATCATGATTTGTTCCACTCTTGAGACACAAGATTCTGGCCTTGAATCAAGTCTAAATCTTAACTCGTTGGTTTATTGGGCGGATTTTTTATCCAAGTCTGTTGAATGTTTGAACATGATTTTTTTGTGTCCTGGATGAAAGAAAAAGAGAAGATAAATCACATTCTGGATTGTTTTTTTACTCGACTAGATCAGGAACTAACGCCATCGCCGTCAGTATTTTATCAGATGGTAATTTGCATCGAGGATTGATAAATGGTTAACTCACGAAGTCTAAAGATGGCATTATAAAGTTTTCTGAATTAGATTAATAGGGAAACAGGGTTTGGAAAGATAAAAAAATAAGAATGTAGCAATGATGGATATCATTTTTTATGTTCATTCTTGGTATCTCTGACATTTCAACATTTGTTGGAGCTTCTTAATTTCCTTTTACAACATCCATCAATGTGACATCTCGATTTACAAAAGGTTTTGTCTATTATATGTCTTACCAATACCAGTAATCTTTTAGTATTAACAAATCTAAGTGACACATTCAGTGAGGAATATATTCTTGATTTTCTGCAGCTCAGAGAGGTCCACGCCAGCCCCCTCCCCCTCCCCCCAACACAAAAACATAAAATATATTCAAACTGTAGTCACTGATTTCTTTATTTGGTAAGTGAGCTGAAAAGAGCTCTCTTTAATTTGCCAAAGACAAATATCAATACAGTCAACAGTACCAGATGTTTTTATTGAATATTAAGACATTAAAACTATAGACCACCCACCCAAACTTCTATATCATCTTTTTTTAATGTCTTACAAAATCAATTTGTTTTGCTAATGGAATCTGATAATTTGTCTGGTTTCTAAATAGATCAATCAAAGAAAAGGTATTATTTTGTATAGAGAGAGAGAGAGAGAAATGGAGTTTAACGTCCACTCGACACAAACTAGGTCATTTTGGGACTAACATATGGTTTAATTTTATTTACATAATTCGCTTGTGCATAGGGGTCTTTAGCAGTGGGAGGAAACCGGAATACCCGGAGAAAACCCACGAAGTTGGACAAGCGACCCTACTCCTTGCCATGTACAACCGGGGATTCGAAACCACGCCAGTTGACTCAATGACAGACTTTATGATACAGCGCGCGCACGCTAACCATTCAGCCATCCAACCCCCCTTTTTTGTATAGAATACAATGTGCTGAATTCATTCAGGTTTAATATTTTCAAGATGAAGAGGAGCCGTACAGGAGAGTCTATATGTATAACATAAATATTTTTTGAACAGAAATATATGTCCCTTTTTTTTTTCATCAATCAGGTTAATGATGACTGTAATACATGATGCTGTGTGCCATGAGGGAAAAATTTGTCTGCTCTTATATAATTCCAACTGTCAAGGGACCTCGGTTTTTTCGCCAAATCAAAAATGGAACAATTAACATAACAGGTTGATGTGTGAAGAAAGTTTCATTAAGGATATAAATTGCATATAAATGTCAAATCTCTTTAGGATTATGTCAATATATAGTTTTAGTCACCTGATATCAATATTTTATGGGTTATGGCTACTATATGTTCACTAATGATTGAAAAATTGAATTGTATTCCAATGAGAGAGAGAGAGAGAAATGGGGTTTAACGTCCACTCGACACAAACTAGGTTATTTCGGGACTAACATATGGTTTTAATTTTATTAACATAATTCGCTTGCGCGTAGGGGTCTTTAGCAGTGGGAGGAAACTGGTGGACCCGGAGAAAACCCACGAGGTTGGAGTATTCCAATGAGTATTAGAAATATTACATAGATAAAGATTTAACTTACCTGTATGTAAGCCAATACTCTCATCACAAACGTAGCTATATATAAAGAATTAGTGGTAAAGTCTAATATATTCCACATATCTTGTGCATATTCTCTCACACCTTCATCCCATAACTGTTTAATCTCAGCCCATATTAAACCTGAAATATTACAATGGAAAACTCATCAGCTAATATACTTTTTGTTTGCATGATTTTATACAAACTTCTCCACATTGTTAAATATCTGTTGACACTGCCACATATATAATGAGTATAATCATAGAGACAATCTGTCATCAAATTAACATCCATATGTATACCCATACATAGGCGTACGGGGAAATTTTTTACTGGGGGGGGCGGTGGTGGTTGGTGCCCCAAAAATGTAGTTAGGTTCTTAGTATGTTACATAATAATCATAATATCTCTTTTGCGATGAATAAGTTCTTAATTTCTAAATCATCAATAAAAGAGAACTAAATTTTATTTACTTGTAATATACACAACTAAAAACAGTTGTTTATGTAACTGTAATTTGTGGCTTACTGTACTCCAAACAAAGATTTCTATTTAATTGCCTAACTATAGACACTCTGAATTTAAATTCGCTGTTAAATTGGACGCATTCAAGAACACAATATTTTTTTATACAACTTTTACAAAGTACAATTGTGTGCCCAAATTTTCCCAGCATTTGGTGCCCAAATTGGGGGGGCAGCCGCCCCCCCCCCCGACTCCCCAGCTCGTACGCCAATGTACCCATACTCCTCGCAATATTTCATTTAATCCCACCTAATCCCACTCAAACAGTCAGGTCAACAACCAATACATTACAGAATAACAAAGTCATTTCGGATTAACCAGAGCTCTAAATATGTTAACGTTAAAGTATATAATGCCAGTCACATCTATATTACGTCGTAATACGCAAAATTTATTATGCTCAATTAACCATTGCATACATAGCAGAATATTGCAGAAAAATTAATTGTGTGACAAACAAGGAGGAGGATATCCAAAATAGCTACCAACGTAAACATTGGATAATAGCCACATGATTTTATCATCTGTTGGACTACACAGCAGACCAACAATATTTTCACCATCTTTTAATACATTTAATCAACTGTCTGAAGTTTAATGGAAAACCCCAGAACAAAGAGACGGGCTGTCATATATCCATATATTGTGTTTCAACACACTAGATAGAAATTTGACTTCCAACAATGGTACACAGGAGAGAATTGATTTGAGCTCAGTACAGCTAGCGAGGTATCTCTCGAGCCATTGCTTCAGGAATATGATGCATACCCCATCCTAATTACTTCTCTATTGACATGACTTACAGAAATCTTAAAGATGATAGAGTAAGATCCACCGAATGCACATTGCTCTATACTCTTCTACTAAAGTGCCTTCAGTTCACATGTAAATTGTTTACACCTTGGGATAGAAATGAAATGAAATGAAATTAACGTCCTACTGTTCTGCTCTGAACTGGGCTAATGAAGACGTGCATACGCCATACAGTGTGCTATGATAGAAATTTTGCCCGGACAGCAGCACTATGGCCTACTCTTATATCGAATTCCAACTGTCAAGGGATCTTTTACGTGTACGCCAATGTGTACATAGGACTTCGGATTTTCATCCCATCCGAACAACTAAACAGCTGTCCTTGTCAGGCCCTCCGTCCTGCATCACTGACATGGGGGAACTACGCCGGAAAATCTGGAAGAACTTTCTCGGCCAATGCAGGGATTGAACACACGTTCTCCAGGCTAGCGAGCCAGTGTCTTACCCACTTAGCCACCGTCCCCCCTGTATAAGGGTGGACCACAGTTTTGTCCGTGGATCCAAAGTATCAGATGCTGTTCCCTGCAAAGTCCGCGACTTGGTGCCACTGACAAGAGAAAGTCTGGCTGGAAAATCCAGAGGAACTTTCTCAGGCAACATCAAGATCAAAGGATACTCCGTGAGCTAGACTAATATGCTTGTTCATGTTATGCAAACTTCAAACTACATGAACAGACAAAATATTTCTACAGAAATAAGTTTAAACCAAACGTAAAATAATCCATTACCTCGTAAACTAAATTTAAAACTTGCGATCTAGTTCCCTTAAAACAGTTTTTGTTGATGTACTAGATTCTGGAATTGATTAAGAGCGTTCTTTGCTATTTTCTGCATTAAAGAATATTACAGAACCTGGGAAACAGTTCAATTCTATCGTGCTCTGAATAAAATGAATCTAGTATTGAATGTTTTAACTCAATAAAATCACTTGAACAACATCAAAATGTTGTTAACAATCCTGTTCAGTCAACATAGATTCTTAATTTGGGCATTTTCTTGTGCAGTCTAGACTGTATGTTGATTTAATGAGTTTAGACATTTGGTTTATTCATTTTAAAAAACTCCAAGTCAATTTTATTACACTAAGAAAGTTCACAGGTAAATTAATACAAAAAGGGAAAGATAGATTCTTGTTTAAATTCTTACAGATAAAGTTTACGGGTAAATTAATACAGAAAAGTGATGATAAATTCTTGTCTTAGCTCTTACAGGTAAAGTTCACACATAAATTGATGCAGAAAAGGGGTGATAGATTCTCATTTAAATTCTTATATTTCAGATTTAAAGGTAAATTAATACAGAAAAGAGATGATAATTTCTAGATTAAATTGTTACAGGTAAAGTTTACAAGTAATGATGACAGTTTCTTGTTTAAGTTTAATAATAGATTCTTGGTTTAATTCTTACAGGTAAATCCAGAATTATTATATTAGTTTACAGGGGTATTAGCAATATGTGCACAGTTCCATCAGGCCCGGTTTTTAATTGGACTATGTGGAAAATTTGAGAGACATCAGCCAAGCCATTATTGGACTATACCTTTTTTAAACTTCAATTTATAAATTGTTCATATTTTTATGATTGTTTCTAAAATGCTTTAAACAAAACTAGAGAAAAATCATTTACACTAAGAGCTTGGGCTTGATTTGATGTTTCCATAATTAGGTAATTCAAAATACTGAATATGGGCATATGCCATGCAGTGTACTACGAGGGAGCTTTTGCCCAGATAGTGGTGTTTCATCCTATATTTCATCAAATTCTGAAGGTTCTTTACGTATTACACCAACTTGTAGACAAAACCTCAGTTTATTGTCAGATCCAAAGTATTATTGTTAATTTGACATTCAAGCCATTCCATTTAATTTCATTTTCTTGATGAAAGTGATAATGCCCCTCTAGCATTAACATGAAAAATCTTTTCTCAAAAATGATGTTACCAAAGGGAAATTTTTGTCTGGACAGCGGCGCTACAGCCTACTCTTATTTCAAATTCCAACTGCCATAGGTTCTTTCACATGTACGCCAGAGTGTACACAGGACCTCAGGTTTTCATCATATCCGAATGACTATAGATTGTCCTTTGCCAGGCTCTCCGTCCTACACCACTGACATGGGGGAGTCACGCCGGAAAATCCTGATCGAACAATTCACCTCCTGGTTTGTGAGCCAACATCTTACTCAATGAGCCACTGCGGCTCCTATCAATAAATAAATGTAGCATATATGGTTACTAGCATTTGTATCGGGTTCACAGGGATATCAGTGAGTTTTATTATTTTGCAAAGTAACTATTTTATGGTAAAATTACAATAAAAAGACAATCAACATATAATATAACACTTTTTTCAACTTCTTTGGCATTAAAAACTTGAATTTCTTTGTTGATATAAAGGGGAATTCAATAAATGTCATATAGGATTGGCTTTTAATTTCCTATTGACAGTGGTGTTAATTTATAACAAGATATACAATATTATCTAAAGGAAATGAAATGGGGTTCAATGTCTTACGTTTCTGTACAGAACAGGCTAATGAAGACTGGCATATTATTAAACCATTATTTAGACCAGAAGCAAGAGAAATTGTAATTTCAGGGGTTTATCAACTATTTTTAATCCTTCTTACTTAGAACACTATAATATTGTAATAATTCTAATTCAGACCATTGTAAATACCGAACTTCCAGCTTTGGAATTTATTTGCAAAAAAAAACAAGATCAATTTATAAGACATGGGAAATGATTTAGGGTCTACAATTTTGGCTAAAAAATAGGGTCATTTGGGGATGGTGGGTGGTGGTTAACTTTATAACCATTTAATTCATCTATGTTTCATCACTAGATACACCACATGCTATCGCCATCATAGAAATAAGTCTGATTAACAAGAAAATATCTTTATTAAACGTTTTCTTTGTGTATAATTCACAATCATCCTTTTCTCTTGTCACGTCTAGACTAGTCCATTAATCAAGATGCTTACAGTCAAAAACACAAAACACAAATAATAACCAATGATGATCACATAATCTAAAATATCCTTTTTTTGTCAAAAAATGAGAATAAGAAATTGCTTGGGGGGAAAATAGGTTCTTGTTAAATATAAAGACTGCTGTAACAACATTCATTTATGTTATACCTGACTTTATTATATTATAAGGATTCATTTTAACTACCTTAGATACAACCTCTCAATATTATAAATAATGGAAAATGAGATGAAAGGACAGGAGAAACCATATATTATTTTCAGGATTACGATAAAAAAAGGAAATCAGGTAGATGAAGTAGTCAATCAAGGTAGGTGTTTCACAATATAATTGAGTGGATCATAAATCCTGCCTATTATCAACGATAATTGAGATTAGTAATAGTTATACTGTCAGTACAGTCAATATTTATTGGAATTTCAAGAATGATTCTCCATATCTTAATGTCCGAATGGGCATATTCCCTGTCAAACGCTTGCTTATCCACAAAGAACCTGTCTGGCATATAAGTCCAAAACAGCATCCCTAGTTTCAGCACCTACTGTTCTGTACCAATAGGCCAATGAAGACCGACATATGCCATGTGATGTGCTATGAGGCAAATTGCTCAGCAGCAACAACACCAACATACTCTTTGTCAAATTCCAACTGCCACCAGTTCTTTTATGTTGAAATTAGCAGGAACTCGGTTTTTCCTTCCATCCAAAAAAAATTAGACACTGTTTAGTCCATCCTGCATCACTAAACAAGAGGAAACTTGGGTGAAAAATCCCAAGAAACTATTTCCAACAGCACTAGGATCAAAACCGGAACTTGCCAGTCACTGAGCCAATACTTTACTTACTGTGCCAAAGAATATGACAATTGTAGAATTATCACATTTTTTTAACACATTTTTAAGTGTTTTTTTACATATAAATACTACAAAATTAACTACATTTATTGTGTTTTAATACATAATTTTTATGGCATGTAAAGTTCTCCAATTAACTTGCAGTAGGTCAAGACCAGCAGATATGACTGAAATGGGAGCCTTGGTTAAAAATAATCCGGCAGGGTTCAACTGATTGACAGCTATCATTATCATTACATGCAGTAATTATACTTCTATTCATCTCATCAATCAGTTTCTAATTAAAAGAGATAATTAACCTGGACTGTATATAACATTTCTTATATAACTACCAGATTACCTCTTCCATTGTTAACAAGCCATTTAATTGCAATACAATATTTACAATTCCCTCCACAAGCATGCATTATAGACATTATAGCAAACTTTATTACAGGTCAGTATCAAAACTTCATTCAGATGATAAAAACTGCAACCGACTTTGTAGGGAAAATATATGAAATCGGGTCTACATTTCTACACCAACAGTACACACCGTGCTATGAGAGAGAGAGAGAGAGAGAAATGGGGTTTAACGTCCACTCGACACAAACTAGGTCATTTCGGGACTAACATATGGTTTAATTTTATTTCAATAATTCGCTTGCGCATAGGGGTCTTTAGCAGTGGGAGGAAACCGGAGGACCCGGAGAAAACCCACGAGGTTGGACAGGCAACCCTACTCCTTGTCACGTACAACCGGGGATTCAAAACCACGCCAGTCGACTCAATGACAGACTTTATGATACAGCGCGCGCACGCTAACCATTCAGCCATCCAACCCCCCCACCATGCTATGAGAGAAACTTTGCCTGCACAATAGCTTTTTCGCCTACTCTTCACCAAATTACAACTGTCAAAGGTTCTTTTAAGTGCATGCTAATTTGGAGGTCCACAGGATCTGTTTTTTCGGTCCATTCAAAAAAGATAGGTTAACAGACAATGAAACAGAGGCCCACAGCAGCTAAATCATACAAGCGGTCAACAAGGGTTGTCGCATATTTATTCCTTTGTAGATAATTGGGAGCATTTACAGGACAATTTCATACATATCAGATTATAATTTTTGTCATTTGAGGGTTCACAAGGTTCTACAAACTGAAACAAGGGCCTTAACTCTGGAAGTAATTTACAGAAATGTTGAAATTTGACAGGCTTTTTCATTTTAATAATTTAAATAATGCATATAAATTTCATACAACAGATATCAATTTTTTAAAAATCGTATGATAACTTTTGACGAATGAACAGAGGCAATGGCAATATTCATTCACATATAAAAACTGTTCTATGCCAGGCCCTCACATGAGGAAACCATGCAGAAAAATCCTTTGTCTTCCTCATCAAACCACTGTGGCTCCCAAAAGTACAAAAATACAGAAATTCCATTTAAAAGATTAGAAACCACAACCGACTTGAGCTTGAAAGTTATTTCACAGAACCAGCTACACAGAATTATACAACTTCTTATGAAAGAATCCATCGCTAAAAGAAAATCTTCAACCCAATCAATGTCTGCTCCTTTAACCCCATGATTATTTCCAAGAGTTTTGCTGATCTGAATCTGAGTCCTGAACTTTCTCCTACACAGAACCCCAACCCACAGATCTTGTCATTAAACATTTCTGTCAATGTCTTCAATGACATTTAATAATTAATTGAACTGGAAGTACAAAGGAAACAATTCTGTGCTTTACAATTACTGTTAATTACTGAGCAAAGTTTCGACTAGGCTTCTCTTGTCATGTTTTAAGTTTTATCAAGTAATGATGAAGACAAGAGAAGCCTTGTTGAAACATTGCTCCTGGGCTGGATTATCCATTAAGCACAATAAGCATGTACTCAGGGCCGTCATAGCAATGGGGGCACCACAGAATGTCTACTTTGTTAGATGCGAAATTTACCAGCGGTTGCCAGGCAAGATACGCCCACATTTTTCAAGAGATGAATAGAGACGAAGCTAAAAACAAAAGAGTTTTTTCGTACAGTCAGGGGCCATAATCTTGAAATATGCAAATATTGAAACAGACTGAGATCAAAATCAGATAAAAATTGTGACTTTTAGGGGGTCCACAACCTTCGTATTACATACTTTTACACAATTTGCAATGAAATGAAATGAAATGAAATGGGGTTTAATGTCGTACTGTTCTGCTCCGATCTGAGCTAATGAAGACGGACATATGCCATACAGTGAGCAAGGAGGAAATTTGCCCGGACAGCGGCACTACGGCCCACTCTTATTTTGAATTCCAACTGTCAAGGGATCTTTTACGTGCACGCCAATGTGAACACTGGACCTCAGTTTTTCATCCCATCCGAACGACTAGACAGCTGTCCTTGTCAGGCCCTCCGTCCTGCATCAGTGACAAGGGGGAGCCAAGCCAGAAAATCTGGATGAACTTTCTCAGCCTATGCAGGAATCGAACACCTGACCTCCAGGCTATCGAGCCAGCGTCTTACCCACTTAGCCACCATGACCCCCAATTTGCGTTCAAAGTGCGGCTATTTTGTCGGGCAGTTTAGTTTTAATTTTCCCGAAATTCGAATTCAATCTTCATCATGGTGGAATGGTGATATATTTAAAAAGTTTTTAAATCGGATAAAAATTGTGACCTCTAGAGAATCCACAAGCTAAAAATGTGCAATTTTACGTACAATCAGGTGCCATAATTCAGGGAAACAACGATTAGATATATCGAAAGGAACCAAGATCATGGGATAAAAACATGTATATCAAGTTTCATCAAAATCAGATGAAAATCCAGGAAGTTGCGGTCTGATATGCACGAATATCAAAAGGAACATACATTTCAAGTGTCATCTAGAGTGTCCACAAGCCAAATGCAATCAGGGGACATAATCCAGTGAAGTTATGGTCTGATACATGCCAATATAGAAAGGAACCAAGATCTTTGGGAGGTAGACCTATATTTTAAGTTTCGTCAAAATCGGATAAAAATTGTGACATGTAGTGCGTCGACAAACAAATTGTGGATATCCAGAAGGACAGGGGTGACAGCATAATATGTCCACATGAAAATGTGGGCGTATAAAAATATTTAATTTAAAAATTAATGAAGAACTTTCAAATAGTTTTTCATTGTTTTTTTCTTTTCATACTGTTACCTGTTTTGTCGCAATTAATAATGATGTATATAAAATTCCAGAACAAGCGGTTGCCATGCAAGATACGCCAACATTTTGCAAGAAAATTCTAATCACGTGTTTGGTGGTTGTTTGTGGTTTATTATTGTTTATATTTTGCATTAAATATGTATGGGGTAGGGCCGATGTGGGTCTGAATCTGCACTGCATCGCTCAGTAATAAATAGTAATCATACATGTATATTTCATAGAACTGTGTCCTGTGTATTTCTCAGAGAATGTTCATATACAGTATTTGTATTGTCATAGCTATACATTGTATTTTTCTGTCATTAATTCAGTGTGCAGTTCATCCATTAAAGATTGTACTACTTTTTTTAATTGTACTAAGCTTTTACTCTATAATGGACATCGACAATGAGATGCAATGAGGTTTTATTTCTCACTATACAATACATTGGGTAAATGGATGGCATTTGTTCTTTTGTTATTACATGTAAAATGAGAGATTTTTGCCCAAAGAGTGGCATTTTCACCTATTCTTCTTCGATTTCTAATTCTCCAAGGTGGAACTCGGTTTTATATAGTATCTGAAAAACAAGCCACACTTTTCTTGTCAACCCCGATAAGTGTCACCTCTGAAAAGTGAAGGCCGTGCTTGAAAAATACTGGCGGTTCATGTTCCTACCAATCCATGCTTAGAGTCGAACCCTGGACAATCTCCTCCGAAGTCTATTTCCCCAACAGTCCAACAACCACAGCCCCTGAAGGAACTGTGATAATATTTTTGGTAGATAACAAGATGAGTCCTCCAACCCCAATAACGGCACATTCCATTGATCAGCACTCCTGACCCAATCTGATTCCAATATCGGGATCCATGGAAATAAAAGCAATAAAAAGGAGAAAAAAAACTTACCAGCAACATAGGCTAATATCATCCATTCTACTAATGAAGCACCTGATCCTCGTAATTCAACTTTTGTTCCATCACTGTAACGCTTAGCATTTACATCTGTTACAAATTCTACACGCTGAGATACCAAAATAAGTAAAACTGAAAACAAAGTAAGTTAGGTAGAAATTATTGTCTGGTTATAGTAATTAAAGTCTCTAAACATCCTTTGATGGATTTTTAATCTCTAGCAAATTACAAGTTGAATTTATAAAATGTTTCAATTTCTGTTCGGTATTAAATGAAAATTTGGCAACATTAGGCATTAGGATGTAATCAACAAGCCAGTGCCACCTGTGAGTTGGACTGAAATCTTTTGATGGATCTCTTTAAAATCTGATTTTGTTTTCTTACATTAATGTTCATTAATAAATTTATGTACTTTATTTTATCCTCGACTAAAGCTGATAAAACCTTTTTATCAGTTGATTTTTGGTTTCAATACAAGCACAATTGTATGGAAAACAATTACCGGTTTTACTGAATGCACATCAATTTCAATTACTAAATGCCACGTGAATTGCATGAAATCTATTTTTTGGCGCCAATTTTCAACAGTTTCCCTCCTCCATTTCCGCTACAAAATGCCTGATTTGAGTAATAAAATAAATTAGTTATCTAAAGTCCATGTGTGCCATTTCCATTTTTCAGAAAGTATCAAGTTTTCCGTATTTTGACTATATCCTACAGTGGATGCCGAACGTTGACAAATTTTCAATACATCATATCTTTGTAAATACTGAACGGAATTGAACCATTTTTGAAAATGAAATGAAGTGGGGTTTAATCATTTTGGACTGATAGTTTGCAATCCCTAAAATCAACTGATTTATAGGAGTTTTAACTTAGCCCCATGTTTTTACCTCTTAACACTTAGAACCCGAAATGCCGCAAAACCGGCTTTGACGTTGTAGCGCATATACCTGAAATGTTGGTTTTGCGGCCTGTGGGCGTGTCATCCGACACCCTTCCTTAACGATAACAAAATAGCCAATCAAAACGCTGTTTACCATTTGCCCCGGGTTTGTTGTAAATAGTGACTTCCTTCAAATTGTTTTAAATTGCATTTTTGGCAAATCTTTCGACGAATGGTGTGTTCTAAACGACTAAATGCAACAGATGCTCTAGCTTTTATAACGAGCGATAATGGCGATGACATTGATGGGTCGAATTACGGCAATGGAAGCGATTTTAAAAGTGAATATGCCCTAGGTTCAGACGAAAATAACAAAGAAAATGACAGCGATGATAACACTCGTACTCGTAATCAATTTGTAAATAATGTTGATCTACATGGCTGGTGATAGAAATATTGGAATAGGTCATGGTCGCGATATAAGTAGAGTTTAAAAACTGTTAGCATGATTGTCCCTCAAGATTATGGATTGGAGATAAATATCATTGTTCCATCATTTCACACAATTATATAAACATATATAATATTAAATTCACACCTAACATTTAGTTCTAATTAAAATGACGTCATTTTTGCAAAATCGTGCAGTAAATTCAGGGTAGGGTATGCGTCGCCCAAAATATTTTCAGGGTTCAAAAGGTTAAAATTTGTTAATATCTGAATATGAATAGCAACAGAGTTTGACATCTCTTGCTTCACCCCTCCCCGCTTCAGCACAGTCAACCGCAATCAAATAATCTATATACCACTGCATAATAGTTTCTACCACTGAATATTAACTATCACACAACAAACGACTCGATATAATATATATGTTTAGAATGCAACCTGCGGAACCTATAGCTTCTTCACAATATTTATACATAACAGTAGGAAAATTGCATTCTTTCGATCAATTAACTATAAATCACAAGTCCTAGGCGACATGCTGTCTTTCTATCACCTTATCTACTTGTGTGATCCTTTCAATGGAAATAGAAATGTAAATAAGATATTGCTACATGTTGACAATAAATTAACTAGCATGTCATGACCGATTGACAGATAGATTACATCTTAGTTCCATGGTGACAGAATAATTTTCCTCCGGCGGTGCTATCTTATACTATACTGTAACTGTACAATTCCTCTTGGCTAATTCCTGGTCACACTCCATGCTTCACGGAAAACTTTTCTTGTCACGCAGAATCTGGTTTCCAAAATTGAAAACTTAAAGAGGTATCAGCGTTTTGCCGGTAGGTTAAACAAGTGGTTGCCATGCAAGAAACGCCCACATTTTGAAAGAGATGGACAGAAAACTAGCTAAATTAAAAAGCGATTTTTCGTACAATCAGGGGACATAATCCTGGAAGTTATGGTCCGATATCGCAAAAATTAAAAGGAATCAAAATCTCTGGGATATAAACATATATTTTAAGTTTCATCAAAACCAGATAAAAATTCTGACTTCTAGAGTGTCCACAACCTTATACTTTTACACTATTTGCGTACAAGGAGTGGTCATTTTGTAGGCAGTTTCCATCTGATTTTCACGAAATTCAAACGTTTATAAAATTGTGACCATTAGAGGGTCTACAAGCTAAAAACTAGATTTTTTTGTAAAATCAGGGGCCTTAATCCAAGTAGTTATGATATGATATGTGTGAATATCGAAAGGAACTGAGATCGTTGGGATATAAACATATATTTTAAGTTTCATCAAAATCAGACAAAAATTATGACCTCTAGCAGGTTCACAACCTTGGTATTACATGCTTTTACACTATTTACGTTCAAGGAGCAGCCATTTTGTCAGGCAGTTTCGGTCCGATTTTTTACTCACTCATCTTCAAAGTGTAACAGTGATATGTTCGAACGATTTTTAAAAACCGGATAAAAATTGTGACCTATAGAGGGTCCACAAGCTAAGTCGTTATTTTTTCATACAATAAGGTGCCATAATCCAGGAACTGACAGTCCGATATGCACGAATATCAAAAGGACTCAAGATCTTTGGGACATAAACACATGTTTTCAGATTCATTCAAATCAGATCGAAATTGTGACCTCTAGATGGTCCACAACCTTGATATTACATACTATTACACTATTTGCGAATACAGAGCATCCATTTTGTCCGACAGTTTCACACTGATTTTTTACGAAATTCGAACTCAATCATCAGTAACAGTGATATATTAGAAGGTTTTTTTAAATAGGATAAAAATTGTGACCTCTAGGGGGACTACAAGGTAAAAACAGGATTTTTCATACAATCAGGGGCCATAATCCATGAGGTTTTAATCCAATACATGCCAGTATTCATAGTGGTTTGATTTGACTTGAAGTGACAGAGCTTTAGGTTTTTTCGAAGAGCGTCACCCCAAGAAGAACAAGATGAGTAGTGGTTGGCGACCAGTTCCTGGTCTAAAAAAATCAGGGGATTGAATATAAAAATCTGGAGATAAGAGTATAAAAATCAGAAGATTGGGTACAACAATGAAGAGATAGAGTATAAAAATAAGGAGATTGAGTATAAAAATTATGAGATGGGGTATAAAAATCAGGAGATTGAGTATAAGAATGAGGTGATAAAGTATAAAAATAAGGAGATAGGGTATAAAAATCACGAGATATAGTATAACAATAAGGAGATAAGAGTATAAAAACCGTGAGATATGGGATAAAAATCAGGAGATAAGAGTATACAAATCAGGAGAAATCGGAAAAAATCAGCAGATATCATACAAAAATCAGAGGATAGGAGTTCAAGGACAGATATCTTTCTTTTAGTTTGTCAGAGCCCTGATTTTTCTTAATTAAATGAGTCTATGGTTATATGGAAATCTTGGATTACTTCTTTGAAAGAATGATACTTCATCTTTAATTAAAAGACAACCTTTTCCAAAATTTTTAAAAATAACATAAAACTTCAAGCTTATTTTGACTGACGGCCAGTAATTAACAGTAATTGTCGAATTTCAACAGGCAGCTTCATCACACTCATTTAAACATCATAAATTTTAAAACTATCAGGTGATGATTGCACTGTGTAGCACGTGTCAACAATAAATTGTGGACGAGGAACATGAAGGAAGACAATATACAACCATATTTTAATGTACCGGTATGCGTATAAAACGGTGAAAAAATTATAATACTTACAAAGAAAAATTAGGTAAGATGCACTATGTATGATGAACTTGATAAAAGGTTTACGTATAAGTTTTCCAAGTGAACAGGTCGGTGTGATTAGATAAAATATGGATAGAAAAGGAAACATAAAACCAATAAACATGGTAATACATATTTTGGACACAATGTTCCGCCTGCGGAATCCTGGTAGTCCGTCGTACCATAAAGATGCTAGAAGTTGTTGACAATTCGGATGAGAAACAAACTGAAAGTAAATACATGAACATCAGATATATACATCAAATAGAAAGGGTTTAAAGCCATGTTATACTTTTCTGCACCAGCTAGGCTAATGAAGACAGGTGTATGTGCTATATTGGAAAAATCCCCCCGTCCCCCCCCCCCCCCAACCTACTCTTATTTCAATTTCCAACAGTCAGGGGATCTTTAACATACTGCTTATACGGAATAAGCAGAAAACAAAATTTTAATTATTATTACTTATTATTAATCTGCAAAGTCCTAAGGAATTTCCTCAGCCAACACTATGATTGAACCAGGAACCATCTGGTTAAGAAGTCAGTATGATACTCGAGAGTCGTTGTGCTTCCCTTTGTCAATCAGATTAATTATTTGCATTTTCAGGTGGTTGTTAAAATATCTGTGACAAGAAACTTTCAGATTTAAGATTTTTGACTTTTTTAGGGGTAACACCCATACTCTTTTAGATAGAACAGAAAAACAGTTGTACAAAAAACTTGACAGTTGAAATTGAAAGAAGAAAAGGTGAATATGTTGCTGTCCGTGGAAAATTCCGTCCAGTGCTCAAGAACTCAAACAATCAGGAAATCCAGAGTACCTGTCGGCTTTACACACACACATTTTATTAGGAGATTGTCAATAGCCATAATATCTGAAGATAGCATAAAATGGTCATAAACTATCCTTGCTTGATCTTTATTGGAATTTTCCCTTGAGTTCTTGTGCAAGAGATTCTTTGAATTACAGCAGAATTGGATGTGAGTTTTCAATAGGGAAGCATGACAAAAATAAAACAGTTTTTTGTGGTGTGTGACAGTTCTACTGACAGATATCTAATTAAATGATTTTATTTATTGTTTCATATATTAAAACAATGGTCGTCTGTATTTTTTTTCTAATTCTTTATCATATAAAATCTCATTTTACATTGAAATAGGAATGCAGTGAGATTTAACACAGCAATAGCACCTTTAATGCCTAGGAGGAGAGTTCAACACAATATTTTGGTGATTTACAGAAAAACATTTAATAAATTTATTTATTTATACATGTATTTATGGTTGAAGATGGGTTCCCAGAAAAGTATTTATCGGGTGGTTATTTCCAATAAAAGTATGGTAATTTTGGTATATATGGAAAATAAAGATATTCAATCTTACTAGAAAAATACTGGATTCCCCGAAAAACACCCATGGAGCGTATACAGGACAAAAATGAAAGGGTTCCCCTAATCAACAGCCCGACGATTAGGAACTTCTGCACACGCTGCACACATTGAGCGCTTGATGTACAAGTTGATGAACTTTATGAAGAGTTAGACGTACAACACTTTCTGAGATAAAAATGACAGAAAAAGACGCTGGTAGTGGATAATCCGAGAATTTAATTAGGATTCGATATTTGTAATAAATAGTAAGCGATTAAAGACAGCATCGTCTTATTATGTATGCAATGAATTCTCCTCTGACTTCCAAGAGAGGTAAGTCATGTGACGTAAACATGACCTGGTTTGATCGAATTTTTACAGCAGGACATTCCATCGCAATTACAATGTTTGAGAAGGATTTAAAGCAAAGTTAATTAGTTTGAATATGTTTTTAGTCCATATATACCATTAAATCACCCAGTTTGTAGGTGGGAACCCATCTTTAAGGGATAATTTTGCCCTGACAACATTGTGTTTCTAGATACATTTATTTTAATCTTAAATGTTCTGTCCCAATCCCATTCTCGTAAGTGTGTTCTCTTGGTCCCACCTGAATACCTATTCTTAATTACTTTCTTTGTGATACATGAAAAGTTGGAACCACCAGGATTCCAACTCAGAGCATGTTAGGAAATAATATGTCAGTCAATTTATTACATGCCATGAAATCTAGAATATAACCTTAAAAAATGATATACAGTTAAATTTATACCAGTGCTTTTTATGTGTATAAATGATTCAAGAATGCTAAAATCTACCATCTCCATTGACAACATTTCTTGTTAAAATGAGCCTCTGAGGTAAACAAAATACATAAAAAAAATGAACATCAAAATTTTAAAGTGAAAGCACTGAACATTGACAGATAATATTCAACCACACTCACCCTTTTCTGTTTATATTTTATGGCTAATTTCAAACGCGCTAATTTCTGTCTTTCTGTTCCACCTTCGTCCGTTGAAGAAGCCGTGTCATGATTTAAGATGATATGCAGTTCCCTGGAACCCCTTGTCTGATCTAACAAGTCCACAGCAAAATCCTGACACTTTAATCCGAGTTTTTCGTAATCCAATTTGAATTCATTTTCAAGTTTGCTCAATCTGCGTAACTCTGCGCACAGTTCAAATGCTGTTAAAATGGGATCTTTACTTGACAGAGCGATCAACGAAGGACTAGCTAAAGCTTTGTATGCATTTATCCGAGATCGCGAATGCCGTAAGCTGTCGTCACTATTGCCAGCAATACAATCTTTACAATCACACCGTATATCATGTGGTTTTGGTATACGATATCCCCTGTCCAGTAAAATTTTTATAATTTCGTAATTATCTCTGTGTCCTGCTAATATGATAGGTGTTATATCTGGAGTAAATGATGTGGAGGGACACGGATGATTTAAGGCCTGAAAAAAAAAAAAGGAAAAATTTTCATTAAAACCATATTAACCTTCATATATTATTCCTACCAATAAGTTTGTCCATCAGGTGGCTCTGTTAGTACAACACAGACTCATGACAGTAGGTACTGGGTTCAATCTTGGTATTGACCAGGAAAGTTCCTCATTCATATGGGAGGAAATCAAGGATCCATCCATATACAGGTTGTCATACATGTAAAAGAACCATTGATAGTGAACTTAATGAAGAGTAGGTTGGTCCATAAACTGTAAACCTCTTTCATTTTGTCATTTAGATGTCAAAAATTTGCTCATCTTCTGTTGTTTTGTTTTTTTGTCGGGTGGAGGGGTTAATTAGATAGTACCTATATTTTTAATTTCTTATTTGCCCTGCACATTTTAAACTTTTAGTAGATATAGATCTACAACAATTTTAATCCTGTAATACAAAATGTTTTGGACATTTTTACTACATGATAATTGCCTATAAAAATACAACAGCTTGTAGGAAATCATACATGAAGATATATATATATATATATATATATATATTACATTTATTAACATTTAACGTTCAGTGTAAGCAAGTGTAAAGTTTGTTGAATATTATAAATACACAGGACACAATTCTATAGAATACAATTAGTTTAATATTTTGCTTGATAAAAAAATCCTAGTGACTACTTGTCTGCAAGATTATTTAAGATTCCACATCGATTTTGAGGCACTTCTATTGTATTCAACCAAATAAGCAGATGAAATGAAATGGGTTTAATGTCCTACTGTTCTGCACCAATTGAGAGAGAGAAACACACACACACAAACTAGGCCATTTCGGGAGTAAGACATGGTTCAATTTTATTTCAATAATTTGCTTGCACGTAGAAGTTTTTAACAGTGCGAGGAAACCGGAGGACCCAGAGAAAACCCACTAGTTTGGGCAGGCAACCCTACTCCTTGTCATGTATAACCGGGGAATCGAAACCACGCTACTTGACTCAATGACAGACCTCATGATATAGCGTGCATGTTCTAAGCATTCGACCATCCACCCCCCCTGCACCAATTGAGCTAATAAAGATGGGCAATCCAGTTTTGTTACGTCTGGTTGCTATAGATGATGTCTACCTGAAGAACTTTCTTGGCTGACACTGGGATTGATGTGAAGGTTTTATTTTTTAAAGCAACCACACAGCAAACATGGGTTCACTTTATTGAGGATGACAATTTGTGCTTATTCCATCAAATGTGGTTTACCGGTACCAATAAGTTGTTATCTTTATCAAGACCAGGTTTACATATTAAGGACATGGTTCTGGCCCCTCGATCCTAGTGTTGGCAAAGAAAGGTCCTCCAGCCTGGTTTCGTCCAGTCATTGATGCTGGAAAAGTGTCTAGTGTTTTTAATGGCACATAAAAACGAGGTGTGTATACCATCAGTGGTACAATAAAGATGCCATGACAGTTGGAAACCGAAATAAAAGTAAGCTGTAGCCGATCTTTCTGGGGAAAAGAATATCCCACATGCCCGTCTAGTTGGTGTAGGAAAGTAAGACATTAAACCACATTTCATTTCATTTCTGTATTGGGGAGTAGCATTCTGGTCATTAAACTAAATGTTTCAGATACCACTGATTGATTCTATCTGATTAAATCAGTATTCTAGAAGATGGAACCATTCACCAATAATTGTACATTTATAATCATCCGCCTACTAGACCTTGACATGACATCCAAGTTTGAAAAGTGAAGCCCAGTAGTAAATAACCCTTCAGTATTCTGATGGTCAAATAGAAGGCCTGTCTTGTGGAGTTAATGGTCTGTCATGATTACTATAGGATATCCGATATACATGTTAAATATTACTACTTAATACAGAATCCTTAACCCTTTAGTACTTAATACATGCAACTACAGACTAAATCAGTTCCTTTATGAAAATGAGAGAAAAGTGATATATTTCATACAGGTATATCCTGCACAGCCCAAAATAAACTTAAAATACTGTTCTTTAGATTGACCTAAAACCAACCTAAAATACTGTTCTTTAAACTGACCCAAAACCAACTTAAAATACTGTTCTTTAGATTGACCTAAAACCAACCTAAATATGAAATACTGTTCTTTAAACTGACCCAAAACCCAACTTAAAATACTGTTCTTTAGATTGACCTAAAACCAACCTAAATATGAAATACTGTTCTTTAAACTGACCCAAAACCCAACTTAAAATACTGTTCTTTAGACTGACCCAAAACCAACCTAAAATACTGTTCGTTAAACTGGCCCAAAACCCAACTTAAAATACTGTTCTTTAGACTGACCCAAAATACCTGAGATATGTGAAATGAAATGAAATGAGGTTTAACGTCCTACTGTTCTGCTCCGAACTGGGCTAATGAAGATGGGCATATGCCATACACGTTCCATGAGGAAAATTTTGCCCAGATGGCGTCACTATGGCCTACTCTTATATCCAATTCCAACTGTGAAGGGATCTTTTACGTTCATGCCAATGTGTACACGGGACCTTGGTTTTTCGTCCCATTTTGCCCAGATGGCGTCACTATGGCCTATACTTTTATCTCGAATTCCAACTGTGAAGGGATCTTTTACGTTCATGGCAATGTGTACACGGGACCTTGGTTTTTCGTCCCATCCGAGCGACTAGACAGCTGTCCTTGTCAGGCCCTCCGTCCTGCATCACTGACAAGGGCGAACCACGCTGGAAAATCTGGATCACCCCACCTCCAGGCTAGCGAGCACGTGTCTTACCCACTTAGCCACCGTGACCCCCCCTAAGATATGTGACTAGACCTCCAGGTTGCTGGACTGTATACCAATTCTTCCTGCACCCCAGTTTTTCGCATCAGTTAAATGGTTTGGGGTTGTCCAAAAAATTGGTAGTTTCAGGTGGTCCAACTGGTAAAGGGTTAATGTACTCATTGTAGTCTACATGTTGGAGTGTACTAGGAAAGTTCAAATATTGATGACTACATCATGTATTTCAATGTAAGGATCTGCTCTGTATCTAAAAAATTTGCATGGAATAATAAAAGTGGATAAAGAGTCCAAGGTTCTTTAAATGAATGGAAATAATTATGTTTAGCTTAAATGTTATTGTATTATTATGAGAGTGGGGTTCTTTAATGCATATGAAATGAACATTGTTTGATTAGCTTGTCATCATTATGAGACTAGGGTTCTTTAAATTAAGTAGCCACAGTGGCTCAGTGAGCAAGGTGTTGGTTTACTATCCGGGTCCCAGGTTCAATCTCGGCGATGGTTGAGAAAGTTTCACTCATTATTTTTCACAGTGGTTACCCCTTGTCAGTGGTGCAGGATAGAGGACTTGGTAATGAGAATAAACAGCAGCGCCATTATAGTTAATTATATATGTTACAAGTCCCTGTAGGTTACAGGTCCCTTCGTTCATTGTTAGTTCTCGTGATACGAGACATCCGGGTTATCTATTATGTTATTGTAATGGTGGCACGTCAATTAAAGTTATCAACAGTTGTCGCTGTCTGTGTTTGTCCCTGTAGTACTCCCCACTAAACTGTCGTGGTGGCTGATTGTGGATTTATTCCTTACGTCTCCGTGAACTGCAGGACTCGGCAAACAAGAAATATCATTCAACAGGCAGGTTACAGTGTACTGTAAATAGATTTCTGTTGGCTCGCGTAGAAGCGCGCCATATAATTTTTATTTTTAAGACGAACCCCCATCAATTTATCAATCAATGGCTTCAACTCGCGCCCCAAAGCAGCGTGTTTTGACAAAAGATGAAACTATCACCTCGTTCGAGGCCTGGAAACAGAACCTTACATACATTTTATCTCTAGATGACAACTTCGCCCCATTCTTCGCTCCCGATATTGTATGGTCTAAGAAAAGCAGGGATAACCCAAATCGAGGCTTTACCGACGAACGTGGGAAGACTGCAGCACAAAAGGTGGTTTTTTTAGAGCTCATGTTGGGTCAAATCGCCAATTTTTGCCCGGTGATAGCCCGCAACACCATTATTCACAAGTCTGTGAGTATAAGCTCTGTTTGGCAATCAATCCGTGCTCACTATGGATTTCAGAATAGTGGGGCACAGTTCCTTGACATCTGTGATATGAAACTAGAAATGGATGAAAAACCAGAAGACTTATTTCAGAGGCTGATCGCCTTCGTTGATGACAATCTATTAACTGTCGGATGCGGTCTTACACACTATGGAACTCAAGTTACCGAGGAGGAAATGTCTCCATCCTTAGAAAATCTGATAACAGTATTATGGCTTCGTTTAATCCACCCCGGTTTGCCCAAGCTCGTTAAGCAACGGTATGGAATCCAATTACGTACATGTACTATCGCGTCACTTAAACCAGAGATATCAATGGCCTTGTCATCCCTTTTAGAAGAGGTGGAAACTGCTGAAGAGGTTCGTTGCATGCGTATGGGTTCCCGACCACCGTTTCGCCCAGACTCCAGACTGCATAACCCCCCGCCAAGGCCCAGGCCACAAACCTTAAAGCCACAACGTGTTACAAAAAGATCGCCTACAATGTGTCCTCTATGCTTACAATCCAACCGAGGTTCCACTGACCATTACCTCAGTCTATGTCCATATTTGCCCGAGAGCGACAGAAAGTTTATGTCACGAGCCAGGCAGGTTATCGTCGATTCTGACGATGATGAGAACACTGATATCATTTCAGATGCCAATAATGCTGATACGCCAACTTTGTCGGTTTCATCACGAAGAGTCCAAGTCGATCAGTCTCCCTATCTTGATGCATTCTACGACCACCATGCCATCCGCATAACCGTCGACTCTGGTTCCGAAACGAATATGATAAGTCATCCTCTCGCTCTCCAGTTGGGCATTCCTGTTACTAAAAGTACACAATACGCTACTCAGGCTGATGGCCGAACATTGTTAAACGTTGTCGGAGAAACTTGCTTTGAGTTGACAAGAGACGATCATATCTTATCATTCACCGCATTAGTCGTGTCCTC